GAAATAAAGTAAAAGCACGGTTAACAAGTTTATGTTTTCTTCTACCGTATATGCTGATGTCAAAATAGGATATCAAATTTTTCTACTTTATTATCGATCAGGTTGGAAAATATTCTCAGAAAAATTACAATCTTAAATGATAATTCCTAGCTGTTACTACTGTGCCTTGTTCAAAAGAAAGCTGCCGAGCAAAGTGTAGGATCGATTCTTACCAACCCTCCCATTCTAACGCCCCCGCAGAAGTAGGGTAAACGCGTTTCCCTTAGTGGCAGATATGATCCCTTCCTATTAGCCCTAAGTGCACGCAATACGGCGATGTCGAGGACTACGCCACCTGACTACCGTCGAAGTGTCTCGCTCTTTCGTGGTCGCCCAAATGCTACACGCAATAGGAGAGGTTTCGATAGTGTCACAGAAGAGTGGGCACTACGAACATGCATATCAGGCAAAGCGAGTGGAATTTTCACTTATGCTGCAGTCCGCTGTCCCTCCTTTGATCACAGGTAGTGAACTGCTATTGGCGAAGACGGTGACGAAGATCGACGGCGGGTCACACAGTGATGCGAGCAATGAAAAAAATTAAAAAATTTTTTGTATAACATAATCGTAATTTAGAGTAATTCATACGTTTTCATGATTCATACGTAATTCATAATTCTTTTTATAATGTAATCGTAATTTAGAGCAATTCACACGTAATTCATAATTTTTTATATAACATAATCGTAATTTAGAGCAATTCATACGTAACCAATTAGATACCCGACACTTAGTAATTCTTAATAAGAAATGTTTCGAATAAAAATTCGAAACAGTCGAATGCATGTGGTGCATCGCAATGCAACACAGTCGGTGCACAGTTCCTAAAAAATTACAATATTAAATGTCGATAAAAGATTTTTTTCATTTTATTTAACTAATTTCATAGTTTGCGTTAAAACATTTTAAACAAGCTGAAAATTCACGGAGCATCTGCAGACTTTTCTGAATGACTTGTTCTTCTATGCTCACGCGCAAATGAACACGACTTTTTGGAGCGTAATAGTATACACGGTTAACATAGTCATCTGTTGGTGATTAAAGCGTGGTAAAAATAAGTCGAAAAAAAACTGAAATCTTCTCATACGTGCTTCCGTTTCTAGAAAATTTACTTTATATGTACATATATTCATTCGATGCATACGTCATTTAATAAAACTCGACTAATTTGTCTGTTCATCATATACCGCTTCCATGTGCTATTAACACTTTTATAGTGGCATAAACTTTCGAAATTATTTTCCTTAAAATTTCAGTTCATAGACATTTTATTCTAAACTGCCTACTAAATCTAGTTTCGAAAATATTCTTCATTTTCTCTCCTACACATTTTTCCATTAATTTCAGTGATTCATGAAAAATTTAGCTGGCTTAGTGAACCGCAACATAATCTAATTTATTTTTAAACATGAAAAATGGTAATTGATATCGCGAGATTGTAATAATTGTAATAATAAAGTAATGTTTTGAAACATTTTTTTTAATTCTTTTGTCAATAACAAGTCAAATTGTAAACGATGCTAAAAGATTTTAAGATTAATATTGAGAAATACAATTTTCAAATTTTTTGCTATGCTTTGTGAAACTAATAAGATGCGCACAAACTAGAAAGAATTGTTTCTAAATAAACTTTATTGCCAGATAAATATATATAGATGTATCCAGATAAACTATAATTGCTTTTATTTAATATGTATTTTCTACGCGCTGTCTTTCTAGTAGGTGTTACAAACGCAAGTAATTTCAGCAAATGGAGGAGCATTGTAGAAAAAGCGTAGTTTAAAGTAAAACGTGTCGGAAAACATGTGTAGCACTTTACAGAATAGAACGCGATTCTGTTTGCAGTTTAATTCGCTCGACCCGTTCTCTTTTTCGAATTCTTCTGAAGCAGACGCAGGTTACGTAAAATTACGATACGTCAGAGACGAAACGTTTTTCGACTAGTTTCCTCTATTCGATTCAATTAATTTCTAGCTCTTCTGTCTATTTCTTTTGTGAATGAACAATAGTTCACAATATAACATTTGTTATTAACCGTACGATACAAATTATGAGGATATTCTTCTGTATCTTGTTTAATTTTCAATAGCGAATACCACTTAAACTTATACATGAAGTAATTCATAATTAATCTTCTTCGTTGATTTGAAGACAAGTTTAGTATAAGCAATTTTTGATGCGAATGTAATTTTTTCATGTAATCGAGCAAGAAATTGTTTTAAGGAATAAGAATAGAATACAGATTTAATAAGAATTTTATTATTCAATCATAGTTCCTAATAATATGAACAGTAATTGTTTATATTCTTTTAACTTGTGCTATTTGCTACCATACTTTCAATCATTTAAATTATTTGACATATACAATATGCTATTATACTTGAAATAATATTCATTTAAATTCTTCAACATTTATAATTAGATATTATACGTTCATCCTTCATAATTATTTCTATCTCCATTGTTCTCGAAATCGATATTTCCACTGAACTTTGAACAAATCGAACAAGTAAGATAAAATTTTTCGAAGGGAATTCCTGCTTCTAACCCTTTCATGGGTACAATATGAATTTTCAAGATGGCAGCCCATTTCAACGGTGGGAATATTTGAGCCTGGTGGTCCATATGCGCACTAAAAGTGGGTGAGAAGCNCTAAGGAAAAAGTTGCTTGAAATGATCTCAGAAACCCCTTAATTCCCGGAAATACCAGAATTTTGGGACGCCCTGTATAATTATATCAACGCCCGGAAAGAGATGATTCCTGATGTCTCATTTGAAGTAACTTTTTACATAGCGAAAATTCAATCCGCAGCTTTGTTCACGACCATGTTCCAATATAATTTTACTACTCCCTGATCTCAAGATTGTATCTGCAAATTATCAGAGCTACGAAGGCTCCAAAATTGCATTTCCAATTTAGTACAACGATCTGAAAAAACTTTTGTGAAGTATACCTTCGACATAGAACAAGTCAGCTAACATTTTATTTGAAATTCGTTCGCCGTTTTCGGCGACACGAAAAATTCGTGTGAACCTTTTTGCGGAACGCAAAAGATACGTAATCGCGAACACGAATTTGTAATTTTTGTGTGCACGCTGTTACAGGTTCCGGGAACGCATCTCTTCAGTGCACGTTGCGAGCTGTAATCTCTAGTTTTAACTTTCGGTTGCCGAGCGCGAGGCCTTTTGTTCCTTTAGCAGAGCTGCTTTATAAAAACACGAGACCGGTGTCATTTTCCGCGGAGCGCAGGAACGCCCGGCAGATTCTGCCCGCGGGAAACTGTTCGACGAATCCGCTGATCCGCGATCGTAAAAACCGGACGGCCGAAGCCCGAGAATTGATAAATGGATCCGCAGCGTGATCAATGAACGCTTCCCCGATCCGCGGGCAAGAAACGACTCTCGAGATTAATCGGGAACACAATTACACGGGAAAATGATCGCGGAAACGTTGCGGAAACGGGGAACGTTCATCATTAATTGTTCCCGTTAATATTTCATCTGTCCGCGATTATATTTACAGAAAATTTTAATAAGCTAGCTCTGTTTTACGCGTTGACTGCTGCCTCGGTCATGTTTGGTTCACACAATTTTGTGTCGTGGATTTAACCCTTTCGTGAACATAATATGAATTTTCAAGAATATTTCAATTCAACAAGAATTTTCAACAGTGGGAATATTTGAGCCTGGTGGTCCATATGCGCACTAAAAGTGGGTGAGAAGCATAGTTCCCAGTGCATATAAAAGGGTTAAAAAGTCGAGCTTCGAAGTTTATTGAACGTATGAACTTTTGCGGTCGAATCACTAATCTAGGAATGATTAATTTACTGCAGAAAACTTGCAAGGACTTTTGCAAGAATTGTAATTAACTGATGATCCCCATCTGTCTCGCAATATTCAAATTCCATGTTAATATCCGTAAACAATAAATGTTCAATTACCGATTGTCAACAACTATAAAATCGAGCTGCAATACTCGAATAATCGTATCCCCCTTTCCCAAATTATCCACTTTTGTGCACAATCCGAGCGCGAATTGGGAAGAATTTACTGTACATGCTCGCTCTTTACTATTTCACTCGTATAATTTTTTATTCGTCTCATATAAATATTTCAAACTTCGCTGCACTATCTAGGAGCACGAACCTATCGAAAAGTAGTATAAATGTTCTACAATAATACTTTTAAGTTGTAATAAAATCGATGATAATCTCGTACTCTCCGAACAGCGTTCCATAATACGTATTTTAATAATTTTAATAATTATTATTTTGATAATTAAATCCTCATCCCAAACGCAATATGCGTAAAAGTCCTCGTTTAATCGGAATTGATCAGCGAAAGGGGTGACGGGGCTCGTCTGCGGACATAATGGAATTAATAAACAGGGAAGTTCATGGACCATCTGAAAGATGGTCGACGGAAGAAGCCGAGAAGTTGTGCCACCGGGCACGAAATTGGGACGACTTGCGAAAACTAATGACGTCTCGAATTCAAATGGAGACAGCCACGCCGCGAACGATGAATAGGACGATCGACGGGTAGTCAACCGTCTTTTTCGCGGGTTCTGCCGCCGATATCTTGCGCCGGCCTCCCTTTGGATGGACGCCAAAATTCCACGTTCTCCTGGCACATCACGCACACATGCAGACCAGCCATATTTCATTACATCGATTCCTTGTCACGTGTTTTGCCTACGTGCTATCGAGACCTTTTGACGCGACGATGCTGCAGCAAACCGCGCGACAACGCGCAGAACGGTTTTGTTGTGCGGGGGATCACTGAATTCTGTGCTCGGCTGTGTTTATGGCATTTTTAAATCTTCCGAAGCCGAAGTGACTCATTTCTTGATGTCCGAGACGACACAGTTTACAATTTTACACAATCGAGACAACGCGGTTTTTAATTTTATAAAGTTACGACAGTTTTTTGTACTTATCGAATAAGGCATATTATATTCTTTTTAATTCTTTCATTCTGTTTACTTTTGAATACGATAATATAACATGTCTTATCGCGCAAATGTAAAGTTAATTATGCTAGGAAACAAAGCAAAAGCACGGTAATTGGTCACACAACGGTAACCGGCTCCACTATTCTATGGATCATCTAGCAATCATAGCTCCGCTTTCACGTCAACATTTCTATTATAAAACAATGGAACGTATTTCCGAGCTTCGCCCTAGTCGTTTATAGCTACAGCAACACGAACATGCTCCAACGGATAACCTGGCGAACCTAATAGCCCCCCGTGAACGCGGTATAAATGCTAACTTGATCGCTCCGTGAACTTAATGCGATGATGGACCTGACACCGGCTTGATGTAATGTTGAACGCTCCACGGTTTTATCTCCGGTTCCTTTGGTCCCGTGCCAAACTCCACCCACCTCTTTCGCACCTAGTATTGTCTCCTCAATTTCTGGATTGGCGAGGATGTCCGGAACTGATGTTACGCTGCTCTCATATATTCCCTTGAAATTGATAGATGCGAGCCTGATTAGTGGGTATTTGGCAACGGATTCGCTCCTGTGCTGGTATGCTCTACGGAATTTCAATTCCAGCACGTTGTCACACAACGAGTGTTCCAACTCGGTAGCATTTTAATTAGGTGCGATTCGGAAGGATTCGGACAGTTTCGAGATTTTTTGAAGACTTTAACCTCTTGCACTGTGACAACGAGTCGGCCTTGTTGTGAAAATGGATAGTGTGGTGTTTGAACGCAATGATCGTAGTATATTGCATAAACGAAGTAATTTGTAAATAAACAATTTTAATATCATAAAGATGGGATTCTGCATATTGTTATCGTAACAACTCACCCCTTCTCAAATGTACAAATAGTTTCTGCTGTGTCGCGATGCATATTTTAAATCACAGCCCAGGGAAGAATGGATTTAGTATATGTATAGTATATGCGCAAGAACTGGGCTTGTACCAAATGTGTAAAGAAAGTAGCTTAAATATAAATAATAATAATTAATAAAGTCGTTTAACGATATCTAATTTTAAAAATTTAGAAGCTTATTTTTACTACGTTTAAGTAATGTTGTTCCTAAATTATCATAATATTAGATTATTATTTTCATTCCACTGCATTAATGTTTATGCCAAAGATAGTATATCTTTTTCTTTCAAAAATATATATGCATTCCTGTTAATCCGAAGTTAATAAATAAACTTTATTATTATTATAATACTTGATTATAATAAAGTTTATTATATAATATATTATAAAGTTATTTATTATAATACTTTATTATAATACTTTATTAAGTATTTAAAAAATCGGAGATGTAAATATCTCATTAGAAAGTAACATTTATTTCTTAGTAACAAACTTTAAACCCCAGAGCATTAACAATTTGCCCCACGATGGGGTAAGAAGTTCCGCTTGAATTGACCAGGTGAAAAGCAAGAGAGAGAATTTCTACGAATAAATTTAACAATGAATTAGTCAAAAATGAAAAATGTAACTGCATTATTACTTAGTCAATTCTTATGTTTTCTCAAAATCGGAACTTCTTGCCCGGTCTCCCCTACTCTGAAGAATATGTTTCAATGTAAACTACCCTCTCATGTAATGAAAAAGATAATTGTTTACGCACCGTTTGTCAGAGTTTCAAATCCACGCATACAATGCATGAAGCGTTTCGATTGTTACTTCGCATTGCTTTTTCGCGACGAGCTTAAATGGTTCTCGACAAAAGCCTCCTTGGTGGGTTATTTTCGCACTGAAACAAAATTACCATTGCTGCCATCAAAATCGTGACTGACCTGGTTGAACATATAAAATATTCCGGAGTTTAACGTGCTAAAAGATTCGACTCATGTCCGACGGAAGAAAGCAAGAGAGAGAGAGAGAGAGAGAGAGAGGCGGAGAGGAGATATGAATATTTCAAAATGAAGACCTTATGAAAGATTTCGAAGGTTGCCTGACGCGAAGAAATCAATGTACATTTAAACGTTAAAAGCCCTGACTGGAATATGAAATTGTGTACTGATATAATACGTGGATTCCATTTTCGATGGCAGCGATGCACAGGCAATGAAGAAATATTTACATCGACGGAAACGGGTTGCTGAATTCATACTGAACTCGGGGAGTCTCGATTGTCTTGCTTTTCGAATGCTCCGATGCAGTTGCAATGCTGAAACTAAAGGTAGAAACATAGTGTATCACGTCACGTGAACTCGCGTGAAATTATGTGAAATCACGCGAAATCGTGTGAATGAAATCCGTCTACGCGTGACAACATATGAACAGCGTGACGCGATACCGATCTTTCCCTAACAGATTTGAAATAATGGAAATAAGCAGGCTCACGCTATTCGGATGTCATATGATTTCACGTGACGTGACATTAGCATGTTTCTACTTTAATGGATTTTACCTTAATCATCTTCTGAACTATAGTTCGTTTAAAAAATTGTGTGTAAAATGAAACTTTTTTTTATGTAAACAGAGAATGCGTTTCAAGATCAATTCATTGATCTAAATAAAATCAATTTTCATTTAATCGTGAAACCATCATTTTGTGAAAATGTTTAACGTAAGTTTTAAGCATATTGAAAAAAAATGACGATGTGTTTCGTGCTTGTCTTTCAGATTGCAATCAAAGTGGCGCGATCGATAAGAAGGATCTAGACCTCGCCGTGCAAGTAAGTACTTTTTAAAATGGTCGTTTACATGGGGAGATTTATTCGTAATTTAAAAATTGCACTTGATTGAAGTAGTAATATTTAAATGAAGCATATTCAAGGCTTCAATACTGAAGGCTGAATACAAATACGATTAAATTAAAAAATAAATAAATTTGTTCAGTACAGTCACGCGCGCGCGCGCGTACACATGAATATTGTCTTCACTAGATCTCCGTTTTTAATTTTAGCGAATCACCGAATGCAGAGGCTGGACTCCGGACAATCCCAAAGTTCAAAGCACAAAGGACAATTTGCTCAAAATGTGGGATGGATTGAGACAAAGGGCCGACGCAGATCAAGACGGCCAGGTAAAAAGTTATACCGCAGTATTTACACGCAATCGTGCATGACGTCTCTAATAAAAATTAAAAAGCTAATTTTGGAAAACATGCGCAACTTTTACAAAATTAACTATGCTCGCATCTTTTTGAGATATCAGAGCAAATGGTTTACTATTTAAAAAAAATGATATTTTTTTAACTTTTTTATGAAATGCTACAACGAAAATCTGAAGAATGCTTTTAATAAGTCTCAGAGTCAAGCTACAAGCATTGAAAGATTTAAGAAGATGTAACTTTCACGATTTTTAATTGTCTGTAGCTAATAACAACATTAATTTATTTTTTCAGCAAACATATAAGTTATAGAAACCTTCGCAACGCATTGTTCAAATTTTCGTTCTTGACAGAGATAAGGAAGCTAATGGATATAATTTTTTTGTCATTTCAACCAGTTGCAATTTTTACAAAAATACGTTCAGATATTATCTAGTAATCTAGTTTTTCCATCATCTTGACACAAAATTCGAGTCGTTCGATCCAATTTTGAAACAGTTCTTCCGCTTTAAAATCTATCGGAATATTTTGGTGATCGACTGTAAATGTGACTGATGAAAAAATGTTGTATTGTGCATAAAAATCTGCGGTCTATTGATCACTGACTAATTGAAACTGTCACATATGAGGATGTTTTTGAAATACATATAGTCTTCCTTTCTTGTAAATATGAAGAGACTAATAAAAGAAAACAAAGAACGACGATCGATTTATTCACGTTCGTTCGGTTATTTTATTTTGCATCTGACATTTCGCAGGTCAGTCGAGAAGAGTGGTATGAATTGTGGGAAGAATATGCGAACGATCCGGCGAATCCATCCGAATGGCAGGAAACATACATGACTTTGATGTTCCAGTTGTTTGACGCATCTGGTAAGTTCCTTTCGTTTTCAATTTCTCCGGAATGCACATTCCTGATCAGCAAACTGTGCACCTTTATTTTCTGAAATGTACCTACGTACCTGAACAAAAATGAATAATATATCTATTTCATGTTCGACCCGTGGAATTTCCCTCATTTCGGAAAGATAAATGTTAAAATTGTATCTCGCACGAAGTTTCGTAGTCCAGTGATCAGTGAAACACGATCGAAGGTTACGTTATGTGGTTTTCGTGGCAACGTAACACTTGTGTAAGAACATCTGAAGCTACTAGAGTTTTATGTAACCACAGTTTTATGCAACTAGAAAAGTCTTAACGTCGAACCTTGATCGACAAACCCACTGACAATCAATCTTTAACAATTTCAAGGAAAAGTTGAAGCAAACTATCTGTATATCTAATAATCTTTAGCTATGCTAAAGCACGACGCTTATTTTACTCTCTAGACAATTGAGTCTCTTTACTTCTAATAATTGTCATTATTTGAAACTCCAGCAACGCTTCGATAACTGTTGCAAAAATGCTATGATAAATAGTTAAACCACAGTTCTGAAGAAGAGAAATACTTGCGTTATTATTAATGGTGAGAATTGATCAAGACTTGTATTTTGAATCGGATGCGAAAGATATTTACAGTGATAACGTTATTAATTGGCCATGATTTACAGACACTGCTGGGACCAATCTTTTTACTCTTTTCTATAGTTTTCGTTCCGAGTATGATAGGACAAAGCGGTATGTTTTGTCCACTTTTCTCGGAGCGAAGGACAAAGGTTCATTGCTGAATGCTTGATAGATAGTGGAAATTAAACAGTTATCGAAGCATTACTGTAATTTAATATCCAGCGAGCTTCAATCGGAAGACGCTGGAGCGGCTTCTAGGTCAACGGAACCGAACACCTATTAAAGAGATCTATCGCTAATGTTCATTAGGTGATAAATCCATCGATGAGAACGAGTTCTGTAACGTCTGCAGATACCACGGCGTCACGGAATCCGAAGCTAGGGAGGCTTTCAAAAAATTGGGAGTCGTAAGTGGCAAAATGCGTTTAGGGGGTACAGCACTATTGAGTCTTCCGGAAAACCGATATCTTTGATGCCGAGTTCGAAAGCCTTATTCTTTGCGAACGTTTGGTAATTTTTCGACTAATTACGAAAGGCGCACGGGGGTTGAAAGTCACTCGTGATGAGCATTAGCAATGAATTAATATCCAAAAAGTATTTCGAAAGAAAATCTGTCGGCTTTCAAACTGCAGTATTGATGAATTGAAAACAAAATTTTACTTCGATCGAAGATCAGAATCATCTTCGCATTCGGAAATTACACGTTTTCATCCGCATTGCGCGTTTTCATCCGCATTATGAACGATCTGAATATAAATTCAATGATCTGACGTGTTGTGATCCTGAAGTGATCACCGAAGTCCAAGATACTATATCCTTTTAGTTTCGCGAAATATTCAAATACATTTAAACATATTTTTTAGTTATACGAAATATTGAAATATATTAAACATATTTTTTAGTTATAAAGAGTGATTCTTAAGGTCAGATAGAGCTTTCAATTTAAAGAAATAACGTTAGCAATTGACTTTTGATAAGAAACCTTCTTCATTCGAAAGACCAATTCGTAGCATTAATATTAAAAAATGATTTATGGCATACAGTTAGTCTAATGTTGGATCACTTTTTGGAGCAATGTCGACCACGTGTCATGGACAACACCGAACAATATTGACTGTCAAGTTGTCAATTGCTGTGATCGATGACGATTCGATAAAAGATCTTCTTGCATACTTCGGTTTACAGCGGCAATATTCTCTTCGGTACGTACATTCCAATGGCATAGACGATATCGGACGATTGGACCTCCGATGGACGATTATGTGCGCCATAAAAATCACGAAGTCGTCTATAAGTCTCGTAAATCGACGACTGATTTTCAAAGTGAACTTGGACAATCCTTGACCGCTTCTCAATCACGAGACTATTCATGATGATTTGTCAAACTATCATATAATCAGACTACATAAATATCATCAAAAATTTGACAAAATTATCAATTTCTAAACGGTTATGATCGGACTCCGGATTTTATGCACGTGTAGGAAAAGTGAGTAGGTGAAATAGGACTTAACCCTGACCTATGAAAACTTTAAAAATTTTATTTATTTACGAAAGAATGTAAGAATATTATTATATTACTTTACGCATACTAATATTGGTATCTAACTTCTATTTCTTTCAGTTAACATAGAAACATCTTATTTTTCATAAAAATCAACAGTATCCTCATAATTTTGTAAAAAGAGATCACTCAACAGTAAAACTAGATTCATTTTAAAGCTTGCAGTCTCTACTTAAATTTATAGCTTTCGAAAACGGTTTTTAAGATACCTTGAACGTTATAAATATAGATTCGATTATTTAGAACTAGGTTAGGCCCGTGTCAGGTCTTCATTATTCGTTTCAAAAAGCTCACCGGTTACGTAGATTGCTTTTCGGTGACCGTGACGTGTCTCCCGCACAGAAACAATAGATAATTGGTCGCACTATACTAACACATTGTATGCCGCCACATTGTACACGCAACGTTCAATGTAATAGTAGTTACAGTTTTGCAGAAATACCTCGGAAACTAATACAAAGCAACGTCGTTTACACAGTGAGAAGTTGTCGAAAATATCAAGCTGTCAACGTACGCAAATGCATCACCAATACGCTGCGGATTTTATGCATTTGTGTACAGCAAAAATTGGGTAGCTGCTATTTAAAACAATACATATAGATAAAAGTATTTAATCAAATCAAAATACATAGTTTGCAACCTCTCAATATAATCAGAGATAGAGAAACACTTCTGCTTGGCTTCTGTTTCTTGCGACTGACACAGACGAGTCATAATTTCGCATAAAGAACCGCGCCTAATCGTCAAAATCGAAGAGAGAACCTTTACATAAATATAACAATTAATTTTTCTTACGTTTCCAACGTTTCGCAATCGATTTGTACTCAGTTTCTCCATATGTGCATCAAACCGAGAATCTACCGACCAGCCAGGAACAGTATCAGCGCGTTCATCGGGTCGGTCGCAAGCAATGGAACGAAAAACCGGTCATTAATTCCAGGCATCCAATAGTCCTGTACCCCCGAAAAGAGGCAGGGCCGGTGCGCGCCGCTTGGAGAACCACTAATTCTACCGCACGATTTCTATTTGCATAGGGCCAGGAAATAACCTGGGAGAAATTCGCCAACCTCTGGAAGCAATATTTCTCCTCGGACGAGCCGACCACACCGGGAAACTTTATTTTCGGGAAAACCTCGTTCTAACTCGCTGTCCCCGCGGAACCGAGAGACGTATCTTACCGTTTCCTTGCGTCGCATTGTATCGTCCATGTATCTGATTTCTCGTGGTCAATTCGCCCGCCTCACGGAACGGCGCAGTCGAAAGTTCTTCTTGTTTGACAACGAAATAAACCGAGGGGGGGAGGAGGAAAACTGAGAAGGAAAAGCCGATAGAGAGAAACGAAAGAAAAGGAAGACCAGCAGAAAAGCAGACAATTAGTTTTCGGCCCCGTTGTCGCGTCGGTCGCCAGGGCGATTCATTTAACGCGGAAACTTTCGCGCCCCTCTCTCTCACTCTCTCTCTCTCTCTCCCTCTTTCTCTCTCTCTCTCTCTCTTTCTCTGTCTCTCGGCGTGTAAATAATCGTCGTCGGGGACGAAAACCAAAAAAAAAAGGAAAAAATGTTAACAGAAAAACGCTAATCATTTTCTCCCGCCGCGCTTGGACAGCCGCCGGCGATAAACTGTATCTTCACTATATGTTTGTATCCGTAACGTGTTTTAAATGTAAAAGCGATCGAGCCGTAATTGAACGTTGACCCGAGAGCCGCGTATCGCTTTCGAACGGTAGCGTCCGGGTGACGAGTTTTAATTAGTCGAATCACGTTTCCCTCCAGCCCGCGGACGGCGTTTTCACGGTTCAGAATCAAGCAAACTTCTTGCTCGGGACGGGGCCGGCCGCGTAGATCCAGCGTCCCCGTGTTTCCGGCGAGCAGGAATGGCAGAGCGACCGTTGACAGCGTGTCTGATAACGACTACGAAAGTTCTTCAGGCAGACTCGCCTTTAATCTTCGTTCACGCGCGAACAGGTGCGAACGCCCCGCGTCTAAACGTGTCTCGCGTAGACGTTCTATTATGCTGTTTTATCGAGAGATCAGGACCGGGAAGGAACACGCGTATACCTATACAGAAATCTAAATGAACTATAAATATATATATATATTATATACATATATATATATTTGATCGACAGAGTTTTACGAGAAATTCTAATCGCAGAGATATATAGACGTTGGTATCGGTGGCGAGTGAACAGCGCCCGGCGCACGTACGAAGTTTCAACCGTTTTTAGCTATCTCTGTTGCTCGACTTTTCAATGAAACTCTCCTAGATGATATGTATACTCGCAATGCAAGAGAAATGTGTCTTAAATAAAAAGTAGGAGAAAAACTATTGTACGGGCACGAAGAAGACGGAGGACTAATACTCGCAGAGTCGTGTTCGAGCAGAAAGGTTCGGCGTTTAATTAGCATTCTTTCGAATCGTCCGAGTGTTTTTCGAACGGTGGTGAACGTCGCATTTGTTTTTCCCCCGTTTCGCTTTGTTAAGCTTTGTTCTCTCTAGCGAACGTGTTGACTGCCGCACGAGGAACATTCATCATCGGAATGTGTCACGAAATATTCGAGCACACTAAACTTCGAATTCGCGGCTGCGTGCAGATTGGATCGATCGTAAATTTACGATTTCAATTTCCTTGAGATCGCGTGATTTTTCTGATTTTAGCAGCCAATGCGTCAACTTTCTCATTCTTTTGCGCCGAAAAAGGAAAAACGTTTGCCCATTGCACTCGAACAGCGTCGCTGAAAATGATCATGACCACGATGATTGGAAAGATTGTTTGCCAAAGTTTGTTGTGTATTCGATAAATCGCCAAAAATGTGAGACAGCGTGAACGCACCGCGACGCTTTTACCTTTCTGCCTGTGAATCTTTCGTGATTGGATGTATTTTTGTTAGTTCTCTTGAGACAGAACGGCGTCGAGGGCAAAGGGTTATATATTTTTGTTAACGTATTCGTTTGCTTGCTTCGATCTCTAGATGTTTAAGAAGAACATAGCCGCCACAAGTTCAAACACGAACGAGAGACGTTCAGGTTTCTTTGTACCGTTCTGCTTCGAGCTATTGAACAATAACGTTGTTGTCGCGATTTAACATAGTCTGTCATGTAACTCTGAGTGTATAATAAAAGAAGATTGAAAGCATTAACAAGGGAATTGATTTCTCCGAATTTTAGTTGTTATTCTATTATATACATGCACACTGATTCGCGAAAGTATTCGAACAGTAGTCTAATTTACTTTTACGCTGTATATATAAATAAATATACATTGAAAATATCCTTTACGGTATATTAAAGTATAGGGTATATAAATGTCAAAATACAAAAGACTTTCGATTTACCATAAAATGTTGCCTACGTAATTAAAAAAATATAAAAACACATCGAATTACATCGACCTTTTTTAATATGTTTGCATTTTTGGTTGATTTTCCCTATATTCAATACTAATTTTCCGAATTTCTTCAGATGCATTAACAAATTAAGATAACAAATTATATTTATTCGTGTGGTATACATGACTGTCCATCCCCATAAAGTGGATTCAGTCGTACAAGTTGCAACAGCAACAAAATACATACTACGAACAAATCATGAAATCGTGTAAAATAATAATTTTTAAAATGTCGAACTTCTCGGAACGTGTTATTAAACAATAAAGATATAAAACTAGTAACAGGAATTAAAAAAACAATGTTTTATGATCTTTTAACTTAATTTTATAAGCCGTTCGAATGCTTATATGACGTAGGCAACGTTTTATACCACATCGAAAGTTTCCTGTATTTTGAAATTTATTAATATACCGTGAAGCATATTTTCCCTTCAATGCATATTTATTTAAATATATGGCATAGAAGACAGTTCGAATACTTTCGTGTATCAGTGTAAGTACATACATACACGATATACGAATGCAAGCAGAGTACAGCAATTAAGAAAGCTTTTCAATGTAACGAAGTCTTTGACACCTTGCTCGTACACTTTCTTCTCATTACCTGCATTGTTATAACTCACAGGTACGTATATTTATTTGGAGGAAAACGGGCAGCTGATTATATTATTCACAGCGCTGGTGCAACGGGAGAACAATACGAAGAATTTTCCGTGTTATCGACATTGATGCGCCATTAACGTCATTATTGATGAAATTGTACTCATCGAATGAATAATTGCATGTTTGTAATTTGTTAACGTTGTATCTGCATACGTAAATGATTAATGTGTAACAATTAGTGCTGATAACGATTGAAAAAGAAAACGTTTAATGACTTCGGAGATGTTTTCGAGCAACACCGATTAGCCATGAATAATTACGTACATTGTGCAATTACAAACGCAGCTTGCACATTGTTAAAATGCAACAAACGTTGAGTAACGTTATTTTATTATTAATATTAATGAACTATGAATATATTTAAAGTATATATAAACGTTAAATTGTTCCAAATCATCTTCTCTCGCAAATGATGAGTATAGCAGAACGTCGATCTGTTAAAGCAAATTGTTTTATAAACAGGAACTATTATTGTCTCGGTAATTTTCTAGCATTTTGGATAAATAAATCAACAAATGTTCTTGTATGTCTTATGGTAAAATATAAAACAGAAATTCAATGATTAATTGATTCATTGCATCAAACATTACACAATAATTTTAATTATATTAATTATATTATAGCTTTATCCGAAGCTTTTATTTATATTAATAACGTCCATAAAATTATGATACGACATTTTTGTTATGTAGTGATTGTTATTATTTATAGAAATTGAATTAAATAACTGTATACAAAATTATTACTATCTAACAACGTTTTATGATAATTACATTGCGTATGCATTTAAACACAGTAAAAGCGTCCAAAGAATTTAGAAACTATTACTAATTACTATCTTGCAATTAATACTTATTGTTTCGTACAAACGTTCACAGTCTAATCACAATGTGTTATCTTAAAATCATTTTCACTTTCTGACACGCTGCTTGTAACTTTTTACAAAATAATTCGACAATACTTGAGAGATGCGAAAAATGAACTGGACAAATTAAACAATACACTAAATATTAATGAAATAAAAGAAATAATTTCAGCTTCAGTGTCACAATTATAAACAGAGAAATGTTTTCGCACGTTCGACGTTCTTCTATACGAAACAAAAATGACTATTATAAAGTTTAATTTAATAAGTTAGCTGGCCAGACCGTTTATGTCCTGTGCGTAAGAATCAAGATTTATACTGCACAGTACCGCACACAATTACTCGAACAATAGAAATTTGATACTTAACCCCGCTTTTAGGAGGTAAGTACATCTGTCGCATGTTACTGTTAACGTAAATATTTTATTTTGTGTTACTTACTTCTCTACTTATTAAAATCTACTGGGACGAGTTAAATAGCACGATCCAAATCATTCATTCTCAATAATAACAAAATTTGCAGAAAGGTAATAAAATATCAGAAGAAAAGCTTGACTACAAAAAATGCTAAAACCTTTTAACATGGCAGATCTCAAGTTTATTTGGACCCCGAGCATAAATATCGTCATTTGATTCTCTAGTTTCTGATAGTTAATGTTAATACTGTTTATTGTATACACGATACAATGAATATAAATACAAATAATAAGTACATCGATAAAATTGATAAATGAAATTAAGTCCGTCGTTCAAGTATTAAATAAATAATCAGAATGAAAGATGAGCATATTAATCCTATTACACGCAATCAAAATAATTCCGAAGCTGTAGCATTTAATATTTTTCCATAAATTCTTCCGAAATTATAAATTAATGTCCCAGTAATGTACACTCCGTTCATCACACGTTCAAAAGGACCTACAAATTTAAGTGAAAATGCAGCAAACCATTATAGGTGGTCTCTGCAAAGATTAACGAGGGTCAGCTGGATAAAAATTAGAAAATAATAAAAGAACTATTTACACACGTAGCCTGTAAGCTTGTCACTTGAAAGCGTTTTCTGTGTAACTTTCATCTTCGAAACGTGCAAAATCGTTCGACTAATTAGGAGCGGTACTGTACAATGGCACCCGTTGGGTGCGATGTCAAATTAACCGTGGAGCGCATCGGATAGTGTTAAATCTGCTTTGGTATCCGCAGTCATCATCAATCACTGCCCACGAAGATCCTCGAACAATATCCACGCACCGAGGCATTGAAACTTTGCGTAAATAGTGTCAGGCGCAGTTTGTTAGAAACGGCTGTACAGAATGCGACGATAAAATGCGACCGTTGTTTATTATAGCGATCATTTTCAAGCGAGGGGAGAGAATCGACACGATACGGCGAATGAAAATGCTTGTGGCGAAGACACGAAACGGTAGGAAATCGTTCTCGGAACAGTCTCGCCGATGGAGGAAACAACCGTGTTCATTTTTTGCTGCAAATGCACACGATAATGTTGTTCTTGTGCTCGAAATATGTATTAACGATATTGTGTTACCGTTTGTGAAACGTGTCGAGACGATGGCACTGGCGAAACCATGTAAGAGCTAATGCACGTTAATCATTAAATAAAGGTATCTCTGAAATATGCTTTCTATGATCCTTCAACCATCCCACGATAATTAAACAATTACCTCGGATTTGAAAGTTAATTTTTACGCTAATCTGTTATGTCTTCTTAATTTTACTGAGATCTCTGAAACGTAAAAACGTTGAGAAAGTAATTGATGCCGTACAACTTTACTTTTTAATTTATTTTATTATAATATATTATTATATAATACATTATATAATATATTATTAATATATATATATATGTATGTATATATATATATATATATATATATATATATATATATAATAATAATAATAATATATTAGTAATATATATATATATATANGACCGTTTATGTCCTGTGCGTAAGAATCAAGATTTATACTGCACAGTACCGCACACAATTACTCGAACAATAGAAATTTGATACTTAACCCCGCTTTTAGGAGGTAAGTACATCTGTCGCATGTTACTGTTAACGTAAATATTTTATTTTGTGTTACTTACTTCTCTACTTATTAAAATCTACTGGGACGAGTTAAATAGCACGATCCAAATCATTCATTCTCAATAATAACAAAATTTGCAGAAAGGTAATAAAATATCAGAAGAAAAGCTTGACTACAAAAAATGCTAAAACCTTTTAACATGGCAGATCTCAAGTTTATTTGGACCCCGAGCATAAATATCGTCATTTGATTCTCTAGTTTCTGATAGTTAATGTTAATACTGTTTATTGTATACACGATACAATGAATATAAATACAAATAATAAGTACATCGATAAAATTGATAAATGAAATTAAGTCCGTCGTTCAAGTATTAAATAAATAATCAGAATGAAAGATGAGCATATTAATCCTATTACACGCAATCAAAATAATTCCGAAGCTGTAGCATTTAATATTTTTCCATAAATTCTTCCGAAATTATAAATTAATGTCCCAGTAATGTACACTCCGTTCATCACACGTTCAAAAGGACCTACAAATTTAAGTGAAAATGCAGCAAACCATTATAGGTGGTCTCTGCAAAGATTAACGAGGGTCAGCTGGATAAAAATTAGAAAATAATAAAAGAACTATTTACACACGTAGCCTGTAAGCTTGTCACTTGAAAGCGTTTTCTGTGTAACTTTCATCTTCGAAACGTGCAAAATCGTTCGACTAATTAGGAGCGGTACTGTACAATGGCACCCGTTGGGTGCGATGTCAAATTAACCGTGGAGCGCATCGGATAGTGTTAAATCTGCTTTGGTATCCGCAGTCATCATCAATCACTGCCCACGAAGATCCTCGAACAATATCCACGCACCGAGGCATTGAAACTTTGCGTAAATAGTGTCAGGCGCAGTTTGTTAGAAACGGCTGTACAGAATGCGACGATAAAATGCGACCGTTGTTTATTATAGCGATCATTTTCAAGCGAGGGGAGAGAATCGACACGATACGGCGAATGAAAATGCTTGTGGCGAAGACACGAAACGGTAGGAAATCGTTCTCGGAACAGTCTCGCCGATGGAGGAAACAACCGTGTTCATTTTTTGCTGCAAATGCACACGATAATGTTGTTCTTGTGCTCGAAATATGTATTAACGATATTGTGTTACCGTTTGTGAAACGTGTCGAGACGATGGCACTGGCGAAACCATGTAAGAGCTAATGCACGTTAATCATTAAATAAAGGTATCTCTGAAATATGCTTTCTATGATCCTTCAACCATCCCACGATAATTAAACAATTACCTCGGATTTGAAAGTTAATTTTTACGCTAATCTGTTATGTCTTCTTAATTTTACTGAGATCTCTGAAACGTAAAAACGTTGAGAAAGTAATTGATGCCGTACAACTTTACTTTTTAATTTATTTTATTATAATATATTATTATATAATACATTATATAATATATTATTAATATATATATATATGTATGTATATATATATATATATATATATATATATATATATATAATAATAATAATAATATATTAGTAATATATATATATATATATATAATAATATATTATTAATATATATAATATATTATATTTTATTATAATTTTCTGAAACTTTTGAGGTCGTTGGTGTAGCGGGTCGTTGCCTAATTCGAATCGATGCAAGTTTTACATTTTCCAATTTTTTAATAAAACGCATCGTTTTAAATAAAAGTATGTATTAACAAATTTTAGAAACGTCTCTACCTTATCTATATTACAAACAATTTTTTAGTCCATGAAATTATATTATGTATTATACAATATCATCTACAAACTATACTGTTTTAATCGAGACAATTGGGCTAAGTATGAATGTTTATTTGTGAAACAGAAGATAATTATAAAATAAAACGTAACAATATTATAAACAATATTTTACCTACAGAGACTGTGAATATTTCGACACAATGTGGAAATGAATAAACAAGTTTTTCCTTGTTTTATTATAAAATGGATCGAGTAGAATTTAAAAGTTTAGAACGATTAATCGATACGCAGTTCGATAGTTCTGTTGACTGATGACAAGCTTATAAGCTACATAGCAGCACCATCTCGCTATAAGTAGCATAAAATGTTTGTGTCCTCAGTCTTGTTCTCGTGTAATCAAGTCGGTAGGAAGATTTGAAAACAAGATATGCAGGAAAATTCGGTAAGTACCTGAAATTTTTATAATTAATCTAGCCTCCTCGTCAATTAACCTGATTATTATCCTGCATGTGACGCTAACGTATTAATTGACGTTTTAACATTATATAACGTTTATGTTCTAACCTCAAACTGCTCCGATTCTATCCGGAACCCTTGAAACGTAGATATCGTTTTCCGTACGCGAATCCGTTTCGTTCATATCTTATCGAAAACTGTCATCAGAGATAACCGATAAACTTTACTTGGTTTCCTCCGCGGTTCTGGAAGCTCAGTATCAATCACACCTTAGGAAGACTCACTATGGTTGACCCAATCACTATATGCAGCATTGCATATTACACTGAAGTCTTACAAGTTCTTCTATTTACTCAATATTATTTGTCAATGCAAGCTGTAGCCTTAGCTTACGTTAGGGTAAACGATACTAACACATGTAGGGAGTAAAAAATATATTGCATGATTCTAACGCGTTGATTATCTGATAAGAGTTACTGCCCCTTAAGGTAACACAAGTTGCAGCATAATGTAAGTATTGCTTCTGAAACATTGGTTATTTAGTGATTGGTGATGTGTATAATAAGCCAATAATAGTTTCTATATTATATATACATATAAAGAAGTCTTCAATTCTCTGCAATTATCATAAAAATTATTACATTTAATATCATCTGCTTTCTAATTTTTTTTATCAGTTTCCACAGTAGTATTTTTAATAATAATCCTAATACATATTAACAAAATTTTGAATGAACAATTAATAACGTAGAAGTAGTTATTAACATCCATTTTGTATTAATAATACAAAGTATTACATTACTACATTAAGATCGCATACGTATGATAACATTCTTACAGGTTGGATTACAGTGATGAGTTAGAATTGCAAAAAGAAGCTGACGAGGTGGATCAACTTGCCATGACTTCTTTAGGGAAACTAATATTTGTAGACATTCATTGTAGACAATCAAAGTCATTATGTACAGAGAAAACAAATGCAGATGTTATAGATTCTCTATCGCTTGCATTTGAGCAGTTATTTTATATGCCATTTGACATCATTGAAAATTATGCTAACACAGTACATACTTTGGACATTAGTCACAATAAGTTTAGTAGGTACGTATATATTATTTAGTCTTGCAAACTCTGGTCATAATTAAGAGTAATTACAAATGAAAGCTATCAATTTATTATTCTTCTAGAAATTTACAATTCTTGGCAGAATTTGAAAATTTAACATCACTAAACTTAGATCACAATAGCATAGACGACTACACTGTATTCCCATATATGCCAAAACTGCAACTTCTGTGGTTAAACCATAATAATATTGAGGAATTGTATCCATTTGTAAAGAATCTCTATGAGAGTGTGCCCAACCTCAGATATTTATCCCTCATGGGTAATAAAGCAGCGCCGAGTTACTTGAATGGGGGATCTTTCTACGATTATCTTCAATACAGGTATGAGAAAAAGAGAACATGTGTGAGAGATACCAAAATAACAAGTGTTAAATTGACAACTATTTTTTAAAACAAGGTTATACATAATATCTTGGTTCCCTCATTTGGTACATCTGGATGACAGACTCGTAACACCAGAACAACGTGAAGAAGCTAAGAGGCTTTTCAAACGACCATTTTTAGAAAATCTAGCCGATCATACTCCACTTCCTGAATGCATCAAACATCTGCACAATAAAATTACAAATATATTTTTTAAACCAACACTGCCTTACAAAGAGAAATCGAGAGGAACAAATTTTATTGTTTAATACAGTATTAACATACTCATATTACCCTTATTCAAAAGCTACTTACGTTCACTAATTTAAAATAACTATTGTAGAGGTAAAAAATAACCTTTTTTAATCATACAAGGATGGGTTACACTCAGAAACAACCACACGGGGCAGTAACAAATCAACAAGAGTTTTATAATATAATATACTATGTACACCGAAGTACATGATTATATTAATCATTTTGATACTTCGGTCCAAATAACATAGAGTATTAATTTATATACTATAAACTAGGAACAAACTTCACAACGAACAAGGAATTTTTATATTAATTAACGTCACTCAATATTTCAGAAGGTACTCGACTTTAATTAACTTCCAACACATTGTACACCAAACAACTGTTATATAATTCAGAGACACATATGTGTCAGCTCAGATATATTTTATACTAATGGCAATAATGATTTAGAAATAAAAACATTTGATACAATAATGTGTTATTTCTTTTAATAATAGTTCTTCTTCTTCACAGATCTTAGTATTAATTCTTTTTTTTTTTTTCTATATGTTGTTACATTTATTAAGAGTTCTTCGTATTATTTCTCATTTCTTCTTGTGTTCAACAATAAAATTCCAGCAATTACATCGTAATTGTATTTGCATCTTCAAGTTTCTTCTGTGCTGCTTCTAATTTTGTAAAATCTTTTGTTTTCAGGTGATTGCTCATTTTTCATTGTGTCTTATCATTTCTCGAATTACCCATTATCATTTATGATATACTCGTGCCTCGGTTGTTTCGTAATTAATAATAATGTACGCGTTAATTACTTTTACAAATTTGATATTCGATCGTGATACTAATTCATAAATTATGTTCTTCTTTCATCGTGTTTTTAAAGAGTCTCTGACGATTACTAGTTCGAATGATAAGCTCGGGCTGACACATTCGTTATACAAAAACAGATGTTATCTGCTGAAAAATTTTAACCGATTATGATTTTTCTTGAGGAGTCGGAGCAAATATAGATTATAGCAATTAGCACTTTTAAAAAATATGAGACAATTCGGACGCATGATATTCGAGAAGGTCGTTGTTTTTAATCCAATTAATTATTCTATAGATTATTTTATAGAAAAATATCACACAATTTCAACTTGTAATTTCAACAATATATTTGGCATCCTATGAAGACAATTAAAATTAAAATATCGCCAATCTTTTATGAAATTCTATTAAAGACAATGAAATGGTAATTGAAAATACAAGTTTATAATAGTTTTCTCTGAAGATGCTGAAATTATTTTTCATGGACGACAAGTCAAGATAAGAACTCCTCTAAAATTTTCAATTCTGAACATTTTTCGTGTGAGCGCATCTATGTACATCGGTCTGATATTCATTTCTCAGTAGGAAATGTTTCCCAGACGTCCGTAAGCATGTGATAAGAAAGTTTATTGAACGAGTTGAGAAATCAGTCGTACATTTAATTTTACATTGCAGTACAGCGCACATAAACAATGACTCGATAAAACGTTGAATTATCATGCGACGAATTAATGAATTGCAACAACAAGTTACGGTGCTTTTTATAGTTTCGATATCCTCGGGCTTTCAAGCAATTGTGTTTCCATATCTTCGCTTAGTGAAGCGATCAAATTTATTCTTTACAATTAATATGTTGCAATAACGTTTCATCTACTTTCTAGTCATACGATTGTATCCAAAATTTTCTGCACACATACCCGGATGTGAAATGTATTTAGGGTAAGTTAATCGCTTTTTTAAAAGTAGTTTTAATTTAGTATAGGATACGGATTAATTTTTCGTAATACATTGTGAAATTGTTGTTTCTGTTTTCATTCGACGGATAAATTTCTTTGAAGAATGTAAAGCGTACTGGTAAGAGAATTTCTCTTGAAAACGGATTTGAATTCAGTCAAACAGAAATCCTACGAAGCCAGTGTCTAATTACTAGAATGCGGATTTGATGTATTTATGTCGAAAGTGACTAGGTGAAATACAAAACTATGGAAACATCAGAAGAATTTGAGAAATTTCTTACGCAATCTTCGACTTATTAAAAATTGATTTGAAGGGAAACGTAGATTTTCATTTCACTTCTGTTTCCGACAAATGACTTAGAAAATGTTTACTTTGCAACTTTGTATTTCACAGAATTGAACAAAAGAAAAATTAATCTTGTTCGTATCGTTATTTGAAATGATAACACTTAACACGATGTTTCAAGAATGTATAACTTTCTTTCAACGATAATCGCTTTTTACATTCGATAAGAAGTCACTTTGCGTTTAACAAGACGCCGTAACTATGAAATGACTATTAGCAAAGCGGTGATAGCGCACGCGTTAAACGTGTTTCAAACTTGAAACACTGCAAGCGCATGAAACCCGCAATCTGCTGACCGGACTAATAGCGATCTATAATTTTAGATTGCAGTGCTTTTAGCAACAAGTTATGTAGTTTGAACTATGTCAAGATCTTCTTAATGTCGTTATTTTCATCTACAGTTTAATCTTATCGAGCGCCGCGCTGTACGTACCTATCGGTATTTGTACGATAGCGTCAACTTGTTTCAGCGATTACAAATGGGAGCTACTCATTCCAACGTGCCAATTGATGATTTGCGATAACACGCAGATCGTACGTTCACGCGTTCGTTCAGATGACGATTTCAACAGGTAAGGCTGCTGTCACGTGTTTTTCAATTCTCATTCACGTGTTACACATGCTTGTTTGCCATTCGTTGTGCCGGAGTGTTCTTGGTGGTTCATTTCTGGATTATACTTTCGCGAAGATTATTCCTCGTCTCTGTCATATTTCTTAAAATATATTCATAATTCGTTATTGTTGTCATCAGAAAGACATACCGAAATTCAGCATTTTTTGGTGGAGCAAGTTTTCATCGAAACGTTTGAACTTCGTTTCAAACAAAAGCATTAAGATGGACTTCTTGTTCTGAAATATTGCAATAACTTCTTTTTGTTCAAAAATCTAATCTTGCGAAGCAAATATTGACAGTTCTATTTATAAAGTTTACGGAATATTTGTTAGACCGCAATGCTGCAGACATTATTTAATGAATAAGATTTTTTAATAGCTTAACTCGAGCAAGTAGTAGTTCAATACATTTCGTACACAAGTGTGTTAATAATTTCATTCGTAAATAAAAGTTGTGTCAGTTTGACCCATAGCTGAATTTTTGTGACGATGTTTCTGACGCGGAGAGGAGACGAGTTTGTTAAAAAAAAAAATTGAAAAATTTAATAGATATATTTTCAAGTTCTGAGTCAATGGTGACCCAATATTGGCTACGCGAGAGTTAAAATAAGAGGTTAAATAATGCTTCAGAGATATAGCACAGTAATGAAAACTTCTCTGTATTGACTTTTGTTAACTCGAGTGTTAATGTAAGAAAAATTAATTATGATCCATCAGAGATTTGAAAGAAGAATATACGTATTTGTATTTGATACTCTGTACTGATGGACTAAGATCAAAAGTCTAAGAGATTATTTCAATAAAAAATTTTGAAAAGTGACAACATTACTGGAAATGTATTTTTAGCAATAACAAGAGTATTAATGGATTAAAAAGCGTTTGTGCGATCTTGATTTTTCTTCAGATCATGCTGCACAAGAAATGTTTTCCTAATTTTATACTTCTTGTTAACGTAATTAACAAGAAGGATAATAAACGTGTGACCGTTAATATAACAGTTTCAAGATTGAACAGAATTTTGAAAAAATAATGCACTTTTATTAATACTACCGTTAGGAGGTGTCCAGTTCGTGCAGCAAACTAACACCACCGGTTAATAACGCTTCTTACAGTTACAATAATTACAGTTATATCTACATTTAATTATATCTCGGAATCTCTCAATAATTTAAACAATTTTTTTAGTTTCGACGAACAATCGTATTCACTTTTTAAACTGTGGAAACTGTAATTGTTGATGAGTTGCTATTTCCGGTGCGTAATCTTTCCACGACGAGAGATCCACCGCCGGAATGTTAGCGCAGCTCATGATTGGGTTTCTGAAACGAGCAAAAATTCGTGATCGATCGCTAGAGCGGTGCGATTGTAACGCATTCTTCACGTGGTCGAGAGTGAAACTTACTTGGCAGACACTTGCTCGAATCCTCTCGGCTGCATCTGACGAATGTGGTCCCCGTTATCACAGAATAATCTGGATATACTGGCCTTGCGTATTTCATTTAATTGTTCTGGAAAATCACGTAACAGACATTTACAAATTATCTGATCTTAACCTCGCGTATTGTGGGGTTAAGATCAGATAATTTGAGAAGATCAGAAGATTTGCGCTTCTTCGTTCTTAACATTAGGCTCACGGATACGTCATAAAAATACATTTAGGGTGAATATATTTACGGACAATAGTTCACCTTGTTAACATAGGACAAAGATCCGTATTGTGTCAACGAAAATATTAATTTTATTTTTCTATAATTTTCTCATTTTTATTTCATTTTCTTATTTACTTATTGTCTTTTATTTCTCTCATGCTTTAAATAAAACAATAGGGCAGTATAATGTGTTATATGCTTCGTTATAATAATGCTTCCCTTAAAATATCAAATTTTACTCAAACGTTAATATATGTTGAATGTTCATATGTTAAGTTTCTTAACTTTTGTCCGTACGTGTATATCCAATAAATTTGTTCCGTCGGATATATAATATAAATCTGTATAAATATATGCTTGTTATTTTTGTCAAGCAATATAAAATGAGCGTTTCCAGTGCTCCGTAAACCCAGCAGTAATCATTTCACTGAGAAACCAGAACAATTTTTGTTTCTAGTCGTCATTTGAGTTTTTAGGCTTCCTCGACTAGAATTAGTATTAAAATTTATGGCTTCCGAATGGATACATCTTCAGGGTCAGGAAGCTCTGATACTGAGTCCGTTACTATTGGCACCACACAACTGTTCAGAATCTTCTACTTTTCATAAAAATGTTTTTAATCGAAAATTGTGATATCGAAAGAAATGGATCTTCTTAGGATCCTCTGGTACTAATTTCGACACATAGAAAATCAATCAGTTGCCGGAGAAAGAGGACTACTTACCTAAAGTAAATGCTATTTGATCGTCGCCTCGTTCGTACCAATAACGATCGCCCACTCGTGTTCGATAAAATTGTCTAGTGAGAATGCACAAAAACGTTGGGCCGGTAAGTGTGCCCGGCACGTGTGTCTCTAACGAGCCACCAACAGTTAATTCGACGTCATCAGGACTGGCGTATAGTTCGGATAGTTTTTCCACATTCTGTAAACAGAAGTATTCATTATTAAAACAACCTCAATCGCCGCATTATACGATTATAAGAATATGATTATTCGAAGAGCAAATCGACTCGCGATGCGATCTTATGGGCGTTCGGGACAATAATCATAACTTTTAAACTAATTAATTTTCGCTATAAGTGCGTTAAAAATGTTTTAAAGGGAACGAAACTTTCGTTAATGCTGTTTACTAAACAGTGTTTAACTGAGTTGTGTAATTATCATAACTAGATTGGAGATATTTACGCATAAATTCCTTCTCTCTCGCGTTTCCATCCTATATCGGAGAAGCTACCAAAATTGTGTTCTATATTTCATTTACATTAGCATACATTACCACTATACTTGATGATTTCAACCGATATCCATTAGCAATCTTAATTTATTCATGGTTAAACGTCTGTTCGCTTACCGGAGGTGAGATATAATCAGTGAAATCCGCAAAGTCTTTTGCTCTTGGTAAACCGCAATACTCGCGGAATTGATTGTACGATGCAAGACCGTGATCGCGATTCCTTTGAATATCTATCGCACGGAGATCCGATCCCAAGGGTTGCCCATTTCTGAATAAGAATTGCGTAATCTGAAATAAGAATTGTTATTTATTTCCTTAGCTACTCCGCACTGTTCAGAAAATTTGGACAATCGTATTTCGTAAATTATACACTAAATCACAATTGACGAACAATTCTGGAAAGAATCTAGTTCTAAACTCACGTGCAATGTACACGGTATCACACGATTGTATAGGATTATCGTAACGTGATTCTACACCCTCGTTTTGGAGGATATTAACATATGTAAGTAACACGCTTCAGATTAATCTTGAAAATTCAAAGATGAAAGTCGAAGATTGGTCCTCGTGGTGAATAAAGTACGATCAAATGATTCCTCAATTCCTCAATTTTTCCTCATTTTTAACAAGTCACTTATGTCAGCGTTCAAATGTCAGGATGTAGAACAGTATTATGGTGATCCTAACAATTAATTTTGTGGCAAAATGAATGCTGTTGTTGTCAGGACAAGACGATTCTAGTAGTGTACAAGGAATTAAACTGATGTAGCCTCTTTTCGAAGAAAGTTACAAATTACAGACGAATTACGCTCTAATGCTCATAGTATGATGTTCATAATAGCCGCTAAGTAGCGGACGGCTATCGATGTATCTTAGAACTCTTCTTTCGAAAAAGAGACCAGTATAAATATTTTACGTACTTCTGCGTCGAAGTACCGATCGCTGGCTTTTTCAGGCTGATAAGACATGCCTCTCGTCAGCCCGTCCATATTGTCGTCTTCTTCGATGATGCCGGCCCTGTTGAAATGGTCGCTGAGCCTCAACGAACCTCTTGTGAAACGTTGTTTAGTTACTAGACTGCAATGTTCACAGAAAATCCAGGTTCATTAGTCTGCATCAGCTTACGATCGTTTCTTTATAACCTTTTGCACTCGAAGAATATTCTTGGGTCATGTACCAAAAAGTCAAACGTGCAGTAGCGGACAAATGATTGAGACGAAAATCGAAATTTTGACAAAATTATGCAGCATTTGAATCACCTATGTCCTTTCTTATTACAGATTTGTGATAAGGAATACTAATATTGCATTTTTAAATCGTTAATTTCGATGGTACTTTCGAGTGCAAAGGATTGATCATCGAGCATCTGTATCCTGACTGTACATTTATATGTTCATTTATGAAGCATAAAAAAACCATTTGCGTTAACAAAAATTATTCTTGCATTTTTTCAGTAAGAAATATTCTAGTATAAATTTTTCTTTCGTTACTATTTCCTCTAAATTAACTATGAAAGTTAGTCTTTCAAATAAAAAATTTCATTCCATTTTATTTTGACGTAAATAAAAACTCTAGTGCAAATTCCATTACGATTAATTCTTGTTTCCATACATCGATCACTGAAAGCGTAACTTTTGCAATCTTTTCATAATACGAAAGATATCATCTTTTGATGTTGTACTCTAATTATTTTGCTAGCAATGAACGCTTACTTCAGAAAACCGGCGATTAGGGAATGGAAATATCTGAAAGCAGCAGTCGAATGTTCGTTCAGAACATTTCCATTCACGTTCGGATCGTAATCGTTCACGTAGTCGTCTGTCTCGTACAGAATTTTGTTTCCATAAGTGTTATGAATACCTGCAAGAAGAAGCACAACGCATTCGTGTAACGATTGTTATTCTCTATATTTTTCAAATGTTCAATTTTAAGTTCTACAGAAGATTATCAGAATTTCTTGAGCACACATTGTACAACATACGGAACGAAATTGGGACTAGCAACGGACTCGCAACAGACTATGACAGCATCAAGCGGATTTCGTGTAGTCATTGCTTGACTTTAGCATGAGGCTTCAGAATCGCGTTCTGTGGGCAAACATTGTGCAATGTGTGCGCGATGAATTCTGTGGTAACAAGAGTAGTACCTAAGAATATCGGCAGCCATTCGTAATAGGAAATGTGCTGATGTTCTGCGATTACTATGCGCCGCGCCTCTTGGAAGATCGTTTCGTCTGTCCAGTGCGGATTTATGCCAGCTAAAGCATCTGCCACGCGATTATGCTCCCTGAGCAGTATTATTTGCAGAACGGCCAGCTGGGGATTCTGATTAGTTCGAGTGTCACCTGGAAAAATAGTAAAAATTTCTTTAACATTTGGCATAGGATTGTTTGTCAAATTGTAAATACGTATGTATAATATTTTAACATCTACTTTAAATCTACTGTAACTAGTCTGCAGACCTTTATGTTAATTTCTACTTTCATAGGTTGTTTTATAAAAGCAAGCACATTTTGTTCAGTAAAGAGTTTTTATTATTCAAAATATTTTAGTATAAGAAAAATGCTATTGATTATTGTTCATATACACGCTTTCTTTCATTTGTAGAATTCGTAGGTGAAGAATTCACCATAAATGCATAAAGATCCGCAGTCTAATTATAATTAAATACTTATTCTCATTTAGTTACTATAATACTCCTTTTTTCAGCACATATATATCCGAACTGTTATTTTTATAATTTTTATAATCTTATTCAATCTATGATGATCAGGTCATTTAATAAGTACCGTAAGTTTCCTTTCATATCTTTTTCCAATAGCAATGGTTGCAGCTGTTGCATTTCACGTTGAAAAGGTATGAAAGGAATTCGCGTCACTTTTGAGATGAGATCCAGAGTATTTTTTTATTGTAGCTGTTGTTTACGTTGTCACAATGATTCTGTCAATTTACCGGTTAGATAACACACTTCTTCGTGGCCCGTGGTGTCGCATTGTTGGCTCTTATTGGTTGCTGCAGGTGGCCATTCTCTACCATGTCGGACATCTACATTGAGTCGACCGCCAGCACCGGCTCTCAAGCTAGCTGCCACTTGATCACTGGATCCGTACACCAAAGAAAGATCCAAGTATTGCGTAACTACGGTCAACTGAAAAAAAATCGATTCTTAGTATTGTCATATTACTAATTAGGTCATTCGAAGAAGTTCAATCGTTCGTATCCTAAACGATATCATTCTTACTTGTTACTGCTATCTCTGTTAGAGATATTTGCTACTGGACAATCAATACTTTAGACAAATGCTGCTTCCTAAATAAGACGTAAACGCCTTCAGTAGTACATATATTGAGTTCAAATAACATTAGGTAATAACATAAAATTAATATTTAAGTTATAATAAAATCAAGTACATTTAAATAAAAGTCACATTTTGAACGACAACATTTCAGTTCTGTGAACAGAATTTACCATTCACTTAAACCAACCTGATAAATTGTATGATAAAAAGAAATATCAAGACATTCAATCATAGTTTAACACTGTCGTTTTCACTGACTAGACTGCGAATTTTATGAATTTATAAGAAAAATGAGTAGTTCGAATGCAAAATGGTGAAACCATTTAAAGAATTTAGAGACAATTTTACGTTCCTGTCGACTCATTATTAATAAGAAAAATAAATGAGTGCACAGCTGCTCTATCTATCAACGAATGCAAATAGTTCTTATTTTTCATAAAAATTCGCAGTTTGGTTACAACTAATGCTTCACACTAATGCTTCTCTGTTTACAGCACAGGACAGCTGTTCAGTGACCAACTATAGCTCGAACGCAGCGGATTAGACCAGTGTAGTCCAACATCAATTTCACAGCTTAGGACCCTACCCCTACTTCATCCATGTTGGTTCTTCCACTCTGTTTCCGTTAGTTCCCCCACTCTGTATCCATTAGGTCCCTTACTCTATATTTATTGCCCTTCTCGCGCTATCTTTGCTAGCTGTTCAATTGTGCCTGGGTTTTCCCAACTAGGTACTGCATCTTCGTTCGTTCGAACTGTGCCAAAATCTATCAGAGCATATTCAACAATTGTAAAATCTGCGAACTATTCATTATTCGGCCGCAGATGACTCGAACACTAAATTAGAAACTCAGGATTTATATACAGACAGATTTCAGATTTCTAGAAAGTACGCTATTGTTTTGTTTATTCAAGATATATTCTACTGAAAATCGTCCTATTAATATATCACGAGATATATTTTTATATGCGTAATTTTCAATTACTGGCGTAAACTTTAATAACAAATCTTCTTTTCGAGTATATCAGAGTCAATATTCGCTCGCCATTGTAATTCGCAAATTATATTCCTCTTTTATGATGTTATTAAAGTAATAGATCCAGCGATGATTATTAATCCTGGTGATAAGCTCTGACTAACACAGATAAAATAGAAACTTAGGACTGTGAATTGTATTATAGGCGAATTTAAGATTTTTAAAGAATACTGTCCTATTAATATTACCATTATTTGTCTAATTACGAATTTTCTTTTTGTGTATACATTGTACAATCTAGTATAAAAATATAGTTAGATAAACGCGAGGTTTGTCATGTAAACAGTTTAAAAGTTCATTAATCATGTGCACAAACGAGTTAGATAAACGTAAAGTTCGTAACGTACGCAGTTTTAAATTTTGTGAATCATGTGCACACACGAGTTAAGTAAACACGAAGTTCGTCATATACACAGTTCAAGAGTTCATTAATCATGTGCACACACGAGTTAGATAAACATGAAGTTCGTCATGTACATAGTTTAATAGTTCATTAATCATGTGCAGAAATGAACTACATAATCTAAATGAGCTAATCTCTGAATATTTTCACATTCCACACGAGACACCAAGTTGAATAATTTAATCGCAGCAGTTATTGATAACAAAACTGTTAGCAATTATCGGTTACAAACATAGCTAATAAATAAATTGTTACAAGGAATGATGTCTCGTAAGAACCGTATTTATATTACGTTAAATTAAGATGACACGATTGATTTAGTGATAATAAAAGGTGTCATAAAATGCCCACGATTCCAAAGTCACCCATACTTTATTGTCGATATCATCGTTATCTGATGTTTATCATATCTACGTTGTAACCGACGTAAAGATACACGACCTGTAATATTAGGCTCTTAAAACGGCATAACTCTTTTATGTCCTTTTACGCTTCACGTTTACTATCATCTTTACTCGAGATATTTCACGACTGTTGAAATAACACGTATGCTAAGTGCGAGCATGTTCTACGAGCAGTAGAGTTTAAATGCTGGTGCTGGTACGTCGAATTAAATTTAATTAAAAATGTGATGTTATGTTAAAATTCAGTATGTTAAAAGCCGCATTTATTTTATCTTGAAATCATATAAATTGCTCATAATTATTATGCACTTCCAGCACACAAATGACACGCTGATATGCAATGCTGTATCATGACCTCGTTGCATGCAAATACAGTGAAATGATCGTTAAAGAATTCTTTAAGGATATTTAATTAAAAGATGTATATAGAGATTGTACGTGATTTGAATTGTTATATGTGCCTGAACGAAGTAACTTTTCAATAAAAATGACAAAACTGATCTCATTCGCATGAGTTCTTAAGGCACAACAATAACCACTGAGAAAATTCTAGATAATAGAAAATATACGATTATCCTGATATGAAAGCACTTCTATAATTAAATTGTACAAATTGTAAAAGTAATCAACGACAGATTTAGTATTAACGAATCACTCCAAATGATCGAGTTAAACGATTCATACGTTTCTATTTCATAAATACGAACACAGCAGCAGAGTATTAAAGTAATCTCCATTTTACGACGAGCAATTAATTATGATACCGCCTCGATCACTTTCCCCAGGCAGGCCGCTAACTGTCAGGGTACCCTTTATGCCAGCGTGCAGAATGTTAATCGGTGATGCAATCGATGATTGGCGGAAATGCTCGAGACATTCTCTCGAATGCACGTAAATGCAAGTTTCATTCACGGGTACTCAATTGAATGCTTCGATAGAATAATTGACGCTTGCGAGCCCTATACTTATGTTCCTAATCTTACCTTAATCGGTTCATTCTCGAGGACTATATTATAAACGAGTATGAGGGGACAACAAACCTGTTCTGCTGGTTTGTATTCCGAGGAGCAGCCACGGTCAAGGTCAGTCGTACTACGAACAAAGTTCATACACCTTATGTTGGCCTTGCTGAAGACGTGGTCGTCGAAAGGGATCAGTATAGGGTAGCATTGACCGTGACTCAGCAGTGGGTCTACTAATTGCCCATCAGGGGTGCAGCACTGCGTCGCGTGTGCCTCTAATTAGAGAAAAATTGTCAGTGGTCTACTGTAATCGTATGTAATCGCATAATAATAATAATACTTTCGCTGCCAATGCGACGCACAGTGGATCAAAATGACGAAGTTGTATGAATATCAAAGAATTTGTATCAAAAAACACCATTTTTAGTTTTCTCTTCGTCAGCCACTGTGCTCACAAACATTAATATGTTTCAACGAAATATTATAGAAATTTGTTTGGAGATACGTACTATATGGTGGTCATATATATATATATATATGATTTCTATATATTTTCTATAATATTAATTTCTATAATAATAATTTCTCTATAATAATAATCAATGTCTATAATATATATATATATATATATATATATCTCATAAAAAGTTGAATAATATTTACAGATATACTCGAAATTAATTTCAAGGTAATAATTCATATTTGCACGTGTCAAAATCTCGAGATGAAGAATGTGCCAGGTAGTGTAAGCTAACGGAGCGTATGAAAGTTGTTTGACTGCGCTATTTATCGTGGTAACGTAGATTTACTTGATTGAGTAGTTCCGTCAATCAGGGCCATGTCGTGGGTAATTATTTGTCCCCATTGCATCGCCGCCAATGTCCATATCGGATCGTCAACATCCACAGGTGGAAACAAAGTAGTACTAACCAATCGAGAAGGCGGTAGTTGTGTTCCAGTCACTGAAGTCGTAGGCGATCGAATTCCTGCATCACGTAAACGCATATTTACATATATCAATAGAGAATTAATTACAGGCAACGATTATTGGATGGTAACAACTACATACTTTTACTATTGTTTTGTGCAATTCGATTGAGCATGCACGTCACAGAATGCGTCGCTTTTCACACGAACCATTTTCGTAAAATTGAACTTTTAATATTCCCATTTGTGACAACCCTAATGTACCTTCAATAATTAATTTTACAAGCTAAGATAACATTAAAATTACGTGAAATATAATTGCACCAGAATGAAATAAAAAGGAGTCCAACTTAATTAGTAATTCATGGTGACCGATAATAATTCGTTTCATAACCCTATATAAGTGAGAAATAATTGTTTGCTAGAAAATTAACTTGTCTAACAATTTTTAAACATCGTTCCTTTCATTTTCATAGTTACACTGTTTCAAACATTTTAATCGCTATTCAAAATATTTTACTATTTTTAATATTTTATGTGAACAAGAACGATTTTTTTCCGATACAAAAGCTTCATTATCATTTTATATTTTTTAACACAGTAACATCCTGTTTTATATACTACCTTTTCGATGTTACTTGTCACTGTTCTACTTGTTTACTGTTACGAATATATTATGAACTAATTATGACAATAACGCAACGAATGCAACCTTTTCGTCTAAGTTAATTATAATAATTCGGCGGAGATTCGCGTGCCGTTATTATATCTAATCCCACAGAGAAATTAATTAAATTATCAATTAAAGGGTTTAACGCGATACATGTCCCATTGAACTTCGATAAATAACATTTATGTACACTGTTCAGACGGATGTAGGTTAATATTGCCGGCTCCGACAGATATATTGTTAATTTTTACAATTAGAGCTCTCTTTCGCTGCGCAATCATAAAATATTCGGATAGATAAAAAATTGGAACGCGGAACGGACAAGATACCGGATCGAATTTCATCGGTATTCCGTTCATCGTGAAAGTATTAAAAACCGCGATGACGATTTTAATATTCTCCGCTCATAACAGAGGAAAATACCGACGTAATGAAGTGTCAAACCACGAAGAATAGGAAATACTCGGGAATGACGAATGTACCGTGAAACATTTTCTTATACAATCATTATTTACTATGGTCAATTCGTGAGAAACAGGTTTCGCGTTTGTTCGACTTTCTAGAAACGAATGTTTACAATTTCAGTCATTCATATGTATTTCGTATGAATGGTATAGCGGTATTTAGCTCATGACATTCAAATTTAGTTATCATAAAAATTCATACTTCAATTAGCTTCCTGCCGGTACTTTTTATTCGAATGTCGCAAGAATTCCGCATCGACGATGCAACTACACTTTTCTCAACACCAATTATCTCTCGATTAACATTCGCGGGAGGTTCAACATTTTTCCAAGAACCTGATGTATCTTTATTCAAGCATCTTAAACAAAGAAATATCTTGTAACGGAGTGAATTTTTAACACAAATATTTTTTAACAGAATACTATGTTATAAATAGCTCACGGACCTTCATGCGAAATAAACATATTCTAAGAAGACTGCAAAGAGCAGAAGTTAAATGTAAACCTGTTTCTCGTTGGAATCATTTCAATAGATCTACATTTTTGGTATTTCGTTTGTTTATCGTTATCGTAAATATACAAAATGTAATGTACAAATGTAAATGTACAAAAATCAAGTTTTTGTAACAAACTGTCTGGTTTGAAATAATAGTGAACGATCTGATTAGTAAATCTTCGCTGCAACGAAACTGTTACAAATCTTAAACTCTGATAACACTTGATGCTTAATTGCACAAAAGATTGTAACGTGCTGCGTAAAGTTTATAGCATCGAAACACGAAGTCTCCGTATACATACCTGGTGCAATTAATGACCCTTGATTATACACCGATTTGATCTTCTCTTCAACCAAACATGGAATTTATTGTATTTCACTGAATGAAATTTCATTTCCTTACAATGACAATAATTGTATTTAATGACGCGACGTGATAGAGTAATGATGAATATTTAAACAATTGAAGTTATTGACATTTACTTTGACCAATATACATGTTTCCTTTATGCGTTGCATTGATTAAATTCAGTTTGCATTAATTTTTCTTCAAATTACAATTTTAACAGTTATGGCAATTCGCAATTAATTACTGTATTATATATTCTCCGACGTGTGTACATACCTGTTTCATTTCTTCAGCTAAACAAGCATGAGTCATACTAATCATGCTACTGAAGTGATACCTCATAGTGCGTGGAAATTACTTATGACTCAATCTAATATCACGAAATGTTACGAAAAGATCAAGCATATATATAAATAGCAGCTATAATACAATAAAAGTAAAACTATGCTTGCTCGTAGTACGTATAAATCGATTAGTATTTTAGCTATGCATTCACACAAACGCACCCCCGAAATTTTGTCAACAGCATTCTTATCACTGCAGTCCATAATTAAAAATCTGTTACAGCATGAATATCTTTTTAAAGATGTAAAAAGATAAAAGCATTTATGTAACGACAATATTTTCATTTCAATATTGTGTATAGAAAGAAAAGTATGATTAAGTGTACGATAATAGAAGCAATCAATGATTAGATTGCTGATTTTATGAATTTACGACAAAAGCGAGTAAGTGGAACACAAATCGGTAAATACAGGAGGTGAAGTAAACAATGGACGTAAATTATTTTAAAAACGTCCTAAATGAACCCGTCAAGGGTTTATTGTCTCGATTATCAATTTATTAAAATATAAAAATTATAAATTAACAGAATTAATTCATAATGTTACAGCTGACGTCAAGATAAATTCAACGACCTGCATAAAACGGTCTTTACGTCTTGAAACATCGCAAAAATCATCGCGAACAGCTAATGCTTCGATCGAGACCATTGTGCCACGCAGAGAATTTTTATTTAGTATAAAGATTCGCAGTCTACTAATGATCGATAAACAATAAAAAGCTACAACGTGCGTGACAAAATAGGATCCCAAGCAAAACTGAAACGAGACACGGAAATTGACTTCACAGCTGCACCGATGTCGAAATCCGACTTGATTCGAAAGCATATCTACGCGAATTACGCTGTCACGTTAGGTTAATTCCTACCACGATACGAAATTTTTTCTTTATGAGCCGTATCTTCCACATTGTCGTAACGAAATCACCAAGCACGAGAACTACAACTGGAAACGAAAATAAAAATGGAAAGCACGAGCATGAAGCAACACAGCATTTTTCCTGCTCTCATTATCAGCACAACGTCTTTGTTCTGGTATAAAAAAACGGGTACAATTAAATGATTGATTACTACCTTTCGGTAGAAGTGTGTGGAATTTTGTTATGAACTTGCGTCTAGTTGGGAACGCAGGTTCGAAAGTAGCGAGCGAGGAGTGCATTAATTATTTAGGAGTTGTCGAAGTTGATCACGAAACAGCTGCAACGAGCTTGCAACGATGTACATATTGTTATTGCATTTTTCACCGTTGAGTCAGATTTTCGCGCGGAATGGAGACTGCTCGCTCGAAATCCTTGGGCCTTCGATCCGAGAAAAAAAAGCATTCATTTTTTCCATTCGCGTCCGGTCATTAATCGGAAAATAATCGTCGCGACGTTGAAACCTGCGGATTTAATAGCCGTTCTTGCGGGAATAAAAATATGATTTATACCTAGCTCGCTCCACTGTGGCTCATTCTTTCGCATTTGAATTTCTTCACAATGGGAGGGACTCGTTGCGATGAATATTCAGAACGTTGGGAATCCGCGTTAGTTAATTCAGGTGTTATTAGTGACTCAACGGGAGAGTAATGTTATGGTTAACATCGCCTGCTGTGCAATAAGGCTATGAGTCTAATGCCAGTGAATTCATCCGAAACGATGAACGTTTTCTTACTAAATTGCGTTTCAATTATTTCACGGGCGTACGTGCAAACCAGTGACGTACGTGTCTCCGTTGCAATGCACGGTTTTCATTTGCGGTTGGTTTTATTACGATGGAATGATTAAAAAGTACGCATGCTCCGTTAGAGTTATGTTGCACAGTTTTTATGGAAATCAGGATCTGAGTAATTGGTGTAACAAATGATATGCAATGAACGTGGGTTGCTCGATTAAACTAGTTTGCGAAGGGGAGTCCTATCGATTAGTTATTATTGGTAGGAAATGCTATTTTTATTAAGTGTAATAGTGATAATTATTTGGTGACATAAATTAGTTCAATTTAATTACCGTTTATTGAAAGATATGGACTGTCAAGTTATATGTGCAAACACGGTTTTGGAAAACGTATACATTTAAGTAAAATTTGTGCAAATGTCTTTTCAAAGAAGACAGAGAGTGCTATATAAATACATGCTGGATGATGATAATTTCACTATAACTTTTATAGAAACAGATCATTTTAGTCGTATAACTAGTTACGTTTCGTACAATTTACGTCCAGAGAATAAATAAAATAATAAAGAATGAGAGTAACCGTGAACATATGAACAATAATGATTTCATGGATGTTATAAAAATAGTAAATATTATGAACGTTTATGCAGCATAAATTCCGCATTAACTGTAAGCTATTAAAACAGTGTCAAAGTTTCTTTCCTTAACAATTTTAACAAATTTATTATTAATAGGAATACTGAAGATTTTAAGGCACTTTCGTTGCTCAATGATATATCAGAAAATATTGCATGGATTTGAATATTGCAGTGTCGGGTCCGTCTCGACCCAAGCACAAAGCCTCAGCGTGTACAAAATCCAAATAAAAATTTCGAAACTTAAAAGTTAATTACCTCGATATGACAAACATTTGAAATAATTGTAATAAAGCAATGTTGCAGTTAATATTCTGCAACAGAGAAACAAATTGAAATCGTGTCCCGCTTCGGTCGATTAATTTTTACAAATTTCAATTTGCATACAAGCTTCGGTAACATTTAATATAACCACGAGTTTCTGAATAAATTAGACGTTACATTGATTGCAAATTTTTAACTGTTTTTAACGATACATCTTAAAACTGAATTCGCTCTAGTTTGTTCTGCGTGTACACGCAACGGTGAAGCAATCACACGAAAAAATTGTAAAATCAAGATTCGCCTAATGCGCTTTCAATATAGAACGCACGTTCCGTTGACTGGAATGAAACGAAGCGTGACTCGACCAATGAGTTATTTATGGGCAGTGGTCTTGAAAAAAATTACTGCAACAATGTGTGCGGTGTTCGCTGTGTTACAAGATTTTCGTGTTCTCACGCCGATTACAACGGTGTTCCGATTACACGATAAACCGAACAAGAAAATTTTTACAATCTCAGTCCGATTATCTGTCAGAACTACCAGTTGGATATCCGGCTCACTTTCAATCGAGTTCTGTTCTATTTTTAATAAATGTCCATATTTCAAAACAATTTCGATGAATGCGGTAAAATTGATTTTTTTAATAAAGTGGTGAAATAGAAGATCAGTCGGTACACTTTTACTATCTATTTTAATTATATGAAAGAAGCTACATGATTTTTATAACAAAATTGTCTAATTACGTAGAATTTCGAGATCGCAACAAAGAAGCTTGCTTATCTTGATAAGAAATAATGACCAATACTAAAATCGACATCCATCAAGATCAACGATAAGGAACAGATGTGCACATGTTTTACAAAATCATATTATTCGTATGCTCTTTCATAAAATAGAAAAGTTACAAATTTTTATTCAAGAATATAATATTAACATGAAATGCTTAATGAAGGTTAATAAAATAGCATTACCTGCACAAATTAATTCCTAGCCAAAATCACTAATATAGATTAGTATATATTTTGCATTAATGTACTTAAATAATGTATCTTTTCTTTATCAAAGAAAACCATGGATCGTCTCCGATCCATAAACCAAAAACGTTAATATAAATTAATCGATACCCATAATAAACCTTTACGTAAATAATTGTTGTTAACGAAGGGCCAATAATTAATTGGTATACCCAACATTTACTACCATCTGCAGGATCTTTTCCCTTCAAAATACGTCAACCTTCACCCAGTCCCCCATTATTACGTCTACCATAACTGAATACGATTCTTCATAAAAAGCTGCCACTATATTACCGGTTTCAGTGCCTTGTTAAAACGCCAATGGTCCATTAATCTCGACGGACTTTGAAGAATATTGATTCAATATCTTCTACAAAATTTCCTAACACATTTCTGAATTTATTTCATTTGAATTCCAATACTTACGCAACTGACAAAACATACCGTAACATTATGAAATTAGGAAGTTGCCAACATCATGAGAATCGACGAGAAAATGGTTAATTAATTATATACGTAGACAATGTTCTGAAAGTATAAAAGGCATTTGTGCCATTCTGTCAATGCGAATTCACGACTATAACTCGACGAGTACATAAACCTCGTTTTTGTTATTATTGATTTTATGTTATTGTTCGTTCTGGCGTGGTACGTTTGTTACGCGCGTTAAAGCACTGTAATAAAGTCTACATTTGATTGTAATTACGGCATTCAATGGAGACCCGATACAATGTCGATTCAACGAGAAGCAATTGTTTTGTGCACGTTAATCGGGGACTGAGAAGAAGTTCGAGGAAACCGCTGTGTCAATCACGTGGAAAGAAAGCGAATGATCGACGTAACACATCGGGTGTAAGAGTGCTGTAAGAAGTGGCCGTTCCATTAGAAATGTTTATCCGCGGCAATTTGACAAGAGAAATCGATAGATCGCTGGTAAAAAGTCCGTTGCGCTATAATAAACGGACTGTTGTGCATAATTGTTTATGACGGCCAAACAAAACATGGCCGGCCGAGTAGAATGAAGTCGGTCAGAGAGTGAGAGTGAGAGAGAGAGGGAGAGCCAGATAGAGTGTACACGGTATTTTTACAATGATCGCGGAAGTAACTTGTGCGTTCACAAACTAAGAGAACTGTAACGAATGTCATCGGGTGCCGTTTATCTACTAAAGAAAGGTTCACTGAAGCGTACCACTCCGAGTTTGCTTACAATCTGTTTTCGAACTACTATTTCCTCAATCGTTTCTTACGCGAAGTTCAAGAAAAGTTTAACAAAAGGACTACGTGGTTTCGTTCTTCGTGCAATTTATTAACATTGTTAACGTTTCCTTGGACTCGTTTCAAAAAAATTTTAATAGACGTTGGAAAGTATTCGCCGACAAATATTTCATGGAACGCAGATCATTGTGCAAGCAAGAAACGTTGATTCACTTGCATCACGTTTAAGTTTCTAGGGATTTGTTGAATGTATACGAATGTAGCAATGTGAAAATTGTGTCGAATTATCATATTACCTTTGGTAACGCTTCAGAGTTTGCTGGCCGTTTGCTAAAGAGTCGACAGAGTTAGAAGATAGTTTGAAAGAAGTGATAGCATCGCTGTTAATTTAGTATAGCTTGGCATGCGTAAGAATGATTGTAAAAGACATCATGAAATAGAGACCAAAATGATAATACAAGTGCGACAGTATTAATGATCAAGATTAACGGTGAATGACTTTTGTAGGCGCACTCCTCGTCGAAAAGATAGCTCAAGTGTACTCTTTTTAATTTCTCAGTAGCGCATGTATAGCACGAGCAATATCCAAACATTAGGAGACGTACGAAAAGAGACAATGTTAACGATGTGACGACAAATGGGTGGTGGTAGCGTAATGTTTGTAGCATTTAGGCGATCATTGGGGAGCGAGACGCGCGACGGGAATCAGGAGGCGTAGCTCTCGCGATCCCCATATTGCGTGCTGGTTAATTCCGAGCCCTGACTTAGAACGAAAGTATATCAAAAATCTGTATAAATCAGTGGCAAATCGCATACTGCAGGTAATAGTAAACAAAGTACTGAAATAAATATTATCACTATTAAATAAGTATATCATATTCAATGAATAAAATTGCAGGTTTACGATATGTGTTCATTATTACTTCATTACTATACTGTTGCATTCGAAACCCTACGATGTGGTTTATTTACAACGAATCGTATATCTCGAGCTCCTAATATTTGGACATTACTCGTTATTGAAGGAGAACTACACTCTTTTTGACGAGGAGTATATGTTACACCATTACTTTAGCCTTTAATGTGTACATAATACTTACCGTCGCCATAATTTGCGGGTAACAGCCGTCCATATCTCGTGTTTGCCATGCCCCACGTGGGATGATAAAGATTATTACAAGAACCGTCGTAAGATCTGTATCTCGAATCCAGGCAACCACGTGGATAGGTATCGCCACATCTAATTTCTTGATGAATGTTGCTCGTGAAATTTTGAGCGAAGTTAAAATTGTACAGGTACCTCTCGTTTCTGAAAAGAAGTCGTTAGAAGTCCGCGATTTTTTAGCCATTGTCGCTATAAAAGTGTTTTTATGGAACAGATATGGAATTTATAGAATAGAAATTTAATTACGTACATTTAATTTATATACATTACGTAATTGATTAATAGATTTTATTTTCATTTCGATTTCAAACTTGAATATAAATATACGTGAATATTTCATTATATGATTTATACAGTAGTCGACAAAGTGTTCGTGAGCCTTTTAAAATGCAATAAATTTTTTAAAACTAGGCTAAACGACTGGAATATTTTTTAAATGACAGAAGAAGGACTTGTCTACTAGGCAATGTCTAAAATACTTTTTCAATTCTGCTATTGGAATGACAAAACAGGTAAAAGGTTCACTTCTTTCAGCTTTTTTTTTTATCCGAGAGCCTATAAAGAAAATTTAAAAAATGCGTTTTGTATCGAATACTTTCTTAGTTGCGTACTAAAAGTTTATTTCACAAAAAAATTGTCAGGAATATATTTGATGAAATAGTATTTGATGAAATCTTCGAACACATTCAGAATTTAATAACATACAGAATTAAAGTCGCGTTATACTCACCTATTCGCTTTACTAGCCGTAAAACTTGGGAAAAAGCTGACACTTGGTGGCACCTTATAAGAGATGGAATGATAAGGATTCTGCAGAAAGGGTAAATTATACGAAGTCTCCGAGCCTTCTAAATCCGCAGGATCGTTCTTGGTTCCTGAAAAGTGGATAATAAAATCTATATATATTCCGTTCAATTCATAGATGCAATATCGGACAAATGTTTCCGGACACCATTTAAAACGCAATCATTTTTGCAAAACTGAACTAAACGACTAGAATCTTTTTAGATGTAGTAGTCCACTAGACAATGACCTTGGTATGAACTGTGATGTCATTGATATGAAGTAATTTAAAGATCGCGAAAATCGTAATTTTGTTTCGATTTTTGGCACTCAGCTTTGTCAGCGAACGACTGCCAGAAATCTGTATTATTGCGCTTATAATCCCAAAATGCTGCATTATTGCACTCATAATCTCAAAATGCTGTATTATTGCGCTTATAATCTCAAAATGCTGTATTATTGCGCATTAAACAATTTAAATGCCGCGTCGTGGGTGGCGGAATTATTAGCTCAGATTTTAATATGAATTTTGACGCCGATCTGTAAAATCTTCCGAATTATATTATTCTTACGCAAAACGTAAGAATGTTGATAAAATAGTTCCATGTACTTCATTCATGTATTAATTATAATTTAATGAAAGAAAATACTTTGATTTTATTAAATTTTTCAGGTTGCTGGCTTGGCAGTCACAGCGTTAACGGGATGTTAAGGGTGTCGCAAGCACCGAGTTGTTACAATCCGATGAAATTGCTAATTGAAAGCGTTGCCAATAACAGCTCGCCCGTCTGCATGATCAAATAGGGCGGAAAACAGGATATACCGGCAACGGATCTGGGCAAGTCATTCCGCAGCATGACGACACTCGACCACATGCAGCAAAAAGAACAAAGAACGTTGGTCCGCTTCTTGGACGGCTGGGAAGTTCTCCCTTGTGTGGCTTATTCATCGGGTCTAGTTCCATCAGATAGCTCACGTGCAGTGTTGCGTAAAATTTGCAGGGAAAGTATTTCAAGTGCCCTACTACTTTAAGTGTCATTCGAAAATTTTAAACAAATTCCCAAATCCAGATGTATTTAAACTTTGCATTGAAAATAGTATTTTAAATACTTTTTAACGACGAAACTGGATTTCTTTGTAACTAATTTATCGAATCTTCCGAATTGATGATACAATTAATTATATACGTATTACGGACTATTATAATAGACTGCCGATTTCGATACATTTATCGAAATTATTATTGTTAGTCTATGCTTAAGATATACGAACACATGCATATATACATGTTGTTCAATTATCGTAATAAATTGCTCGTTTTATTGACGCTTGAAATTCCTAATATTTCGATGGCTACAAATAAATTTCGACGAATAAATGAACAGTCAGATCATTTAGCAACGGGGTTCAAATTTTGTGGATGAGTTTCGAGTCGAATAAATATTCCAAGGCATCCTCGATGTGTTTGCCCGATGTGAGTGACGTGGAAGGGTTAATTCCTTGCTTCCGCTTATGAACTTCGAATCATCTACGATCGTATAGAAGGCGATGAACAGTAATTTGATCGATTTCATGCATAATCTCCGAGTGGCCAGTTCTCTGATGAGACATAATTATCCTCTCCTTTCTACACAATCCATTAATAGGAATTTGCTGGTGAAATCCTCGACTACATCACGGATTTTATTTCGACTAGAAATGATCCAGGTCTGATCTCATTGCATTCTAACAATATTTTTTAAGTGGTTCATGAGCTCCTGATGGAGAATAGGGGTGTTTACCTCATCAATAGGGTTGTTGTCTTCTTAGCTCTAGAGTTCGCTCTTTTATTTCCGCTTATTGCTTGGTGGTAAATATTTTCGCTAAACAATTTCGTGAATACACTGAACACGGAAATTGAATTCTGGCCATTGGAAACCGGTCGCCAGATCAGTGCACCAGTTAGCTAAACGCGTTTCGGTCGCTCGTTCCCCTCACTATTATCCGAGAGGCATTTACCCGGAACCGCGCGGCGGTCGATACGTAAGTAGGATCATTCTAATCAGGACAAAGACGCAGGCCGTTTAATGCCACAGATACCCGTGATTGTGTTCTGCCGGGGTATCGGCAGAAGGACACCGCGGAGAATTTTCCCACGACGAAGGGCCTGATCGCGCAGTACACGGACACGCCGATTCGCAGCCGATTACTATCGCTAATACCGGCGGGCCCGTCGTCGGTGCATCGATGCGCTCTTTCCTTTTTCCTGTTTATCGCGCATACCATCGGATCGGCAAACGTTCGCCAAACATAACCCAGCCGTCGGGGATCCAATGTCGACGTAATAGATCGTGAAACAGGCTCCGCGCTCTACCGCGCCGATCCCTTTCACTGCTCTCGGAACGGTAAATGTTACACCAACGACAGATCCCATCGATGCAACCAGGCAACTATGTAAACGAACGGGTGATCGTGCGCGTTGCACTCCTGGCAAACCCCCGGACGAATTTCAATCGGGTCTACGGCATATCGTTTGGCGCGCTGCCAAATTACCGGTATTAATATTCAAGGTACGAGCGGCCCCGCCTGTCATATTCGAACTTTACGGCCGCCGTGTTGTTCTTCGAAAAGATTAACACTGAACTTGCCACTGTTCTGCACTCGAGTGGATCACGAATTAGATTGCACTGCGGATTTTACGCTTTCGCCGCGTCCGCGATCGATCAAGCTCGACACCTTAACTGCGCCTCGCGCGATTTTTATCGCGCGCCCGAGACAATAATCTACGAGAAAACACAGCTTTGCCGGGCTTTGTTGGGGATCTTTCGCTGCCGGATTTTTGGGTACGTGTTTTGACGATGTTTATAATTATGTGATTCTCTTCTTCACTTATTCAGAAAATCTCAGGAAATATTTATACGCGCGCGTGTTATATTTGATATTGAACTTGTCGAGCGTTGAAGATGTTCGTCACGCTTGGTTAAGTATGGCGAGTAACATTTCTTTGCTTAAAGATAATTGCAATCTTGTACCCTAAAGCACATAAACTAGAAGTTCCGGTGGTGAGTTGTTTCAATGGTAATACGTATATTTGAAATAAAAAAGAATTGCGTTATGCTTTTAATTGTTCGATCGTCAACCATTTTAACAGCGTTCGCGACAGCGAGTTGTATAGTTTTAGACGAGATAGTAGTCACATAGTGTTGTTAAAGTCAAGTTAATATTTGCCAATCACTATTTTTTCGTTTAATTCGATTATTTAATGTGAATATTGCCTACTCTGTTTTGCTCTTACAAATCAAATAACATTTAAGTTATTTCATAATAATTAATAATATAATTCAGGAAGTAAACTTTAAGTGAAACTTTACAGAAAAACCGCATAAAAAGCTCCATCCGATTGCATTTCACCAGAAATCGTCTGAACATATGAAATCGCACTTGTTAAATTAAAATTTCGCTAGGATCCACCTAATTATCCACACGTCGACAAGTAAAGCCCGAGCTCGCTTTATTCATTCGAGCAACAGTTAAGTTGATGTGACAATAAAACGAGTCGTAACTGCTTAGTTGCTGCAATTAAACAGTAGCCAGCGCGAATTACCATTTAAAGCGGCATGTTTTATTCAGGTAGCGATGCAGTTGCTGAAACAAAGTTGCAAATGCGCACCTGCCTTTATCTACCATCGCGGCAGGTCGGTAAATAAAATCGCCGGTTTACTTAATGGAACAAAAAATTGGCGAACGTAACGGGAAATCCAATAAATGTGAAAATACAGAGTTTTTCAATTACATTCGAAAGTTCGCTGATAAATTAGTAAATCCAGTTTACATGGGGAATTTTTGTTCCCGTCACCTTCCGAAACTAAACTCGTATTTCCACGCGTAGTGGGCGTACAACTTTTCTTCGACCACGTAACTTAAATACCGACACGTCACACGGACAAACATTTTCTAACTGGCGAACTGTACCCTGTTATTAACTTCCACTTGTTGCACAAGGAACCGATTGCCTTTGCTTCTTTCGGTTCGTGCTTCTGCCTGTTGCCCGTAATTGTTAATGCGGTGACCACATTCTGCGATCTATCAAATATTTTTTCGTATATTGCTCGAAATCGAATGACACTTTTCAACGCTTAACTTACCGTATCGGTCGATGTGATCAATTTCACATTTTCAAGTTCAAAATTAGTTCGTTCAGGTGATTGAGTTTATTAAGTTTATTGAGTTGAAATTACAAAGACCCTTCCGTGGGAAAGTATCGAATAACTTGTTTTAGCTAAAAATGTAGAAAAGTTTAAATAAATTCTGTCTTGTCATTCTTATGAAACCGCACGTGACTTTTAATGCTAAGTTTAGTATTTATTAGATCACTTTACCAGACCGATTAGGAAAACTATTTTATATTACTAGATGAAAATAGGAAAAATATATTTATTGAAACCTTTAGCGATTGTTATCATAATATATGCAAGATTACGAACATGAAATATGAATTGATATAATTATTTCTCATAGATTCTTTTAGTCCGAAAGAAAACATTATTTCAAACAAGTATTTCTAATATATCGAACTCCTACTTATATATAACAAATAAGTTATTTTCAAATATTCTTGTATGTAAAACTGAGAAATAAAATAATTCAGTAGAACAAGTTGAATATTTTTTTCTAATTGTTTATTAACCACGATCTAATGTAGTATGAACCAACGTGTTATTGTAACAAATGCCAAGGCAGCGTTCAAGAATCGAATCCTGTTGCAGTAGAACTCAAGGTTATCTTGCAACCTTCTCTTGAGCCGATCGATTTTTTATAGGACTATTTTAGTAACGCATTCTTTTCGAGGGTGCAATTAAATAACAGTAAAAATTGATTACGTCTACCGCCGCGCGAGTAAACTCTGTTTAAATGACTTGAAAGGCACAATAAACCAGCCGACTCATTTGCAAGAACATGGTTGCAACAGAAATATCGTTTTATGATCCGGAGTTTATATTTCTTTTGCTGAGGAATGCACTTTTTTCAAACGCAAAGTAGAGCATAGACTACGACAAAAAATTCACGTCGACGCACAAACCTCTAATAAAGTAAATTTTTGTCGAATCTCGATTCCGTGATTGTGTCTTTTACTCTTGACTACACGTTGCAACTACGCTACGTGTAGAATTTTATGCATTTATGAAGCGTGAACGTTGTAAAAAATTACAGTATACATACATGAGTTTTTAATTCACTGAAAGTGCAAATTTGCATAACTTTCTGCAATTTTGTTGCAATAACATTCGATAATAGCAATGTATCGTAACAACGAGAAAGATAAAGAGAATTTAATTTATTTATATTTTCTGCATAATTGTGTGTTTATACCTTTTCGAAAACGCTGCTTCAGTTCGAAAGTTATAATGCTAACAATATACGAGACTTTCGAAATTAAAATTTGTAAAACTGCCAATTTTACCTGATCTTGTGGCTCGCGTTTCACTGTCTCGACTAATTTTCTTGCCACCCGCTAAAACTTCTTGTTTTAGTATTAGGGTGGCGAAGATTATTGCCAAGATCCAGCGCGCTGTGCATTCCGTCATGTTTCTGAAACAAAAATTGCAACTCTTATCAATTTCAAAATATTTGCGATTTTATAACACGAGTTAAAGAAATTATTAAGTATTTATTCCACAATTTTTTCGAATGTTTTTGTTTAACAAATATTGGTAACATATTGGTAGTACATGTTGGGTTATGTAAATCTTGCTAACAAATGTTACATTGCAGTACACAAAATCGTTTCACATATCTGCAAAATGTGAAAGAAGGGTTAACGATACTATTGCAAAAATAGCAAACACAAATTCTATGTTGGTATGTATTAAGCTGAAAAGTTCCTTAAGAAAGAAAGAAAAGAGTAAACGTTGAAGGAGGACAAAACTTTGCCCGTTGGAGAACTAGATTAAACAACTAACTCCAACAATTAAATTCGATTGTCAGAGAGAGAGCAGCAGATAATCGCATAAGATCTATAACTACGTGAAACGATTATAAAAGAATAAATTTCAGTGAAAATGAACACTAACCGCCACAATTAATTGAGAACAATTCACGGTTTCACGTTCTTTTCGAGTTCCCTTTCTCTGGCGGTTCTGTAAATTATGTAAATTGCGGCGGGTCGCGCTATTAAAATTACAATGAAGTTATAAAAGAGCATTCCTCGCGGCTATCCGGCTGTCTTCGGGCTCGCCGGGTTTCTTTTTCCCTTGTGCTCCTTAAAAAATTGCTCCCGTTTCTCGGATAATAATCCGAAACGCGTTTCCTTTCCGAAGCCGCGTAACTTTAACGGGCGAGTCCCATTCCGTCTCCAAATGATCCGAAGAAACTCATCTCGCCTAATTTGGTCAGTTCCAGGGTGGATTTCCCGGCTACCGAGCCACGCAACAATGTATCCATGGCACATTACGATCATTCCTCATCACGGGTCGACCAGTTCCGACATACGTGACTTTACTTTATTCGTGCATTAGTCGAAATTGAAACAGAACGCGGAACAACGAAACTGGGACCATAAAACTGTCAGGCGGACTCGATCAGACCTGGGTGCAAATGTTTCAAAAGGTATTGTATAAATAGCTGATGAAATACTTTTGCTCGCATGAAATAATATTTCAAGACTGTAATTCAAGATTGTAAATGGTTTTCTTAATGTCGTGGTACAGAAAGTTATCAATTGAAATAGCATTTTCTTAGGATGTGCGGGAAATAATTATACGACATAGTATTTCATGCGTCTAAATTTTTATTAATCATTTGAAATTCTATTTTTTACGATTTGTATTTATGAGATAGAAAGTATCAGCACGTATTGTTTCGAAATATAAGCTTTTTCGTATATTTCTTTTAATTAGTTAATATAATTGGAACATGCAACATCTGTTTACTTTATGGAAATAATGTGCACGAGTTTCATTTTACGCGCAATAAAGAAAATATTTATTTCAATTANCCGGTACTCGCGAGATATGCGCCATTTCTATTATAACGGTCCGCGAATGTAGAAAAGAAGAAGAATTCGCGCGAGCATCGTGCCAACCGTTACCTCTTTGACAGCGAAACGATACTTTCGAGCGCCGCTTTGGGATACTTTCTGCACGTGCACCTTGCGCAGCCTAGCCGCGTGCATGAACCCATTTGCGTCGGACACAGAGTTGCACCGCTGCTCGCTCCAATAATGGGCAAAATGCATTCGAAAAACCATTCGAATGACAAATACCGTGGAAACGTGCGACTTCACTTGCACTCGAACGCCCGGCACATTGACAAACTGCTTTCCACGATTGCGCAACTGTTGTGAATATCTTTATGCAATTCTCTCTTTAACGATCACTGCATTCACACCGTTCGTACACTGGCATTTTGATACATAAATATGGCGAATTATAATCGCATCCGGGTAAAAATATTTAGGAAAATACTGGAAATCGTTGACGAAATATTCTTATTTGTATGAAATAATATTTGTATACGTGTGTTAAAAATTTATGCTGTGGTAATCGAAAATTATTAATTGAAGTATTTTTTTTCAGATGTGTTGAAAATTATTATTTGAAACGGTATTTCGTGTTTCTAAACTTCTATCAATTATTTGACATTCTATTTCTTACGATTAATATTTATGAGAGAAGATAAACTTATAGTAAATGTACAAACATATATTATTTTGAGAGATAAACTTTTTATTATATTTCTCTTAATTAATGATTGCATTAGATCATTAAGTATGAAATGCATAGATCTTTTTGCATTTAGTAATATACATATTTTTAGTAACACATAGTTTCATTCCACGGGCAATAAAGAAAATATTTATTTCAATTAAATATTTCAGGTTCATATTGTATAATATATATTTTAAATATGTATTATATATTTGTAAAATCAGTTAAGTATTTTAGCTAGTATTTCATTTAATACAGAGAGAGAGAGAGAGAGAGAGAGAGAGAGAGAGCGAGAGAGAGAGAGAGTAACAGATATAAAATTAGTCTGACAAAAGAATCCCCCTTACGTACTTGCGCAAGTGATAATAATGTTACGTAATATAATAAATGAGCATGAAGGCACGTGACAGAACTCAAAGTTGACATTTCATCGCCATTGTTACGGTAAATACTACGGAACGAGACGGCGTGACACGACACGCTGATTTTATAATAACGAACCACGAGAAACTCGACAAATGCAACTGGTGTGCAATGTGCAACGGCTCACGATTGCCTTCCGGTTGCATTTCACGAACTTTATTCGATAAGCGTTGCCGGTACACGCTGGTGAGCAAAAAGCTGCATATCTAATAAATGTATCCACGTAGACGTTCGTTTCTAGCGTGCACTTTATTAAAACTTCGTGTACAGAAAACGAATCCTTCTAATATCTTACATTAAATCGATCGGTTGACCCGTTTTTACCCCCCTTTATCGGTTTAATAATCTAAATTCTATTTGCAATTAGTGAACCAAAAATTGTATGCATTACATCATTTCTATAGATATCCAGCATTATTTCTGGATATTTTGTACCAACGAAAAATTCCTTTTCGTTATGATTGCAAACAGAAATTTGTTGTAGATAGTATAGATTACAATTTATATATCGAAAAATTAATTGCGATTGCAGGCGTTAAGAATACTTTTATTAGAACTCTTTAAAACATTAAAGAGAAGGTTAAAAGACAAGGTTTCACAAAATATGCTTAATGCCAATCGTTTTACAATCTTTCTCAATCAGTCTCTGCGAATTAACTTATCTTATCACTGCGTTTCAATGAACGTCTGTACAAAAAAACTAACGTGACCTGAAGGAGTACCCCAGAAAATATAGCAATAAAATTGACAATACCATAAACGATCCTAGGTATGCTCGGTTATATTTCTGCGAAAATGGTCCGCTGTTCGGGGCTTATGGAAAACAATGCATCGCGGCGCGAACAGTGAAACGATTAAACGGTTTACACAAGAACAAGAGACTCTTTAGCAGAATTATGACTTTCCTCGGTCGCTTTCCAACGAGGAAGCTTAGCGGGCGTTTTCACGTGCTAATTGGATATGCAACGGACCCGCGGCCGCGATCATTGCAATCGCGGCGTTGCACAAGCTTCTTTCCACTCGCGTGAAGGTTACGCGATTTTAACGGTTATAATCACACCGACTCAATCGGAACTGTTCCACGGGATATACACCGGCGCCCCTGAAAGATACACTTCCGATACTTCATGAAATTGCTTCAAGTTGGCCGGGAACTGCGCAAACATCAGCCATTAATTAGCGAAATCGTGGCGCGCGATCAAGCAGGAAGGGAGAACGCGAAAGCCGATCGTTGATTCATCGCCGCAGCGCGACGATATTGTGTAATAACTCTATCGGTGTTCCCAGACTTCGTCCCGAGGACCACGAAAAGCAGCTGCTTTTCCGACCGTGATATCGGTCGTGGAATTAGAAACGCGCGTTTACTCTTCGTAATATATGAACAAATTCGTTCAATAACAATTGTTACAGCTGATCCCTCCGTAATGCGACGATGCTTTATGCATTCTAGGAATTAGTGTTTCAAGAAATCGTGTCACACGAAAATTTTCCTCTGTTAACGCAAATAATATTACTGTTGTGTCCTTTTTTTTGTATTATACAGAATTAGTTTTTCGATGAGCAGACTGCGGATGTTTATGCAAACGCATATTTTTATAGCAATGAGAACAGGGGGCAGAAATATGCTTTATAATTAGAGGATTCGAAAAATATATTTTTTATTTTGCACTGTTTGCATAATGCATATGTTTCGCTTGGTCTATTGGTGAGCACTCGTATCGTAACTGGATAGTGTCGATGACAGTAATATGTAAATATAATACCGAGTATAGGCCACAACAAATCTCGTTTTCGCAACCTTGAGTTGCCAATTAAACGTTAGATGTAGCTGTTGGTATTTCGAATTCGAGTGGTTCAGTTTGATTATCGAAGCGATAACGTTCGCCCATTAAGCGATAAAGTTCATTCATTGAACACCTTAAACACCTTGCCGACTACGATTCAGAAATTAGAAACCACAGGTTCACCATTATAATAAATTAACGCTAGGTTCACGGGGTATATACGCTATGTTAAAATAATTGAAGTTATCTTAAGATTATTAAGATTTGTAATGATACATTAATTTATGGAGAATTTATTCAATAAAATTGTTTCTTTGGGTATATATTATGATAATAGTCAGGTAATAAATTATCTGATACTTATGATACATTTGCCAATTTTTTTACGAAAACTATAGGCTAGATTTGAATATATGGTCTTACCAAATAATGTCTGAACATACAATTTTCGAAAAACTGACGATATATAAATTGTTATAATTACGTAAGAATCAATCGAACAATAAAGAATCTAGGCTGATCTTAAAGATTGGACCTTCTATTTTTACAATCAATAATTCAATTTGTTCTAAAATATTTCTGCACAATACAGCAGGCAGAAAACCAGAGATACATTTCATCTCGAAAACTTTTTTCATAATTGCATCTGCTACAAAAAATGAACAGTAAATAAAGA